CAAGTTTTTTAAACATGGACCCTCTTCTCCATATTTATGTACATTTATATGACTTGTTGATGTATTAAGTATCAATCTGGCCACTTCTACGCTCATCTTCGTTAGTATCTCAAACAAAAATCACTGGGTTAACCATGCTGCACCGATGTGTTAATTACTATTCATTAGCGAAGCGATAGAACGGTTCAAGTCGATTTTGACTATTCAGTTTTCAGTGAATATCTCTGGATCTAAGGCAGATAGCAAAATTTTTGTAATAACCTTTTTTGTAGAGCGGATTAAGATCTGCAAAAAAGTTAATTACGTAAATTTCGCTATCTGCCTTAGATTCGGAGATTTTTTTCGAAAACGAAGCTGAAGGCTACGTCGACTTGAATCGTTTTACCGCTTCGCTACTGTATTGATAAAAAAAAAGTATGAAAATAAAGTACACTGTTATAAGCATCACTCATGCTGGTTATTGGATCAGAGAAATACATGATCTATGTACAATGCAACTGAGTATATTCCCTTCGATGAAAAAAAACAGAAGAGGATTAATAAAAAATGCAAAAAAATTCAATGATTATTACGCAAAAGTTCTCTCGACTGAATGCACAGCACGAAATTTCTATAGCTACGAATTGAGAGTGTTAATTGTACTTTCGCAAATTCTTATTTACAAATTATAAAAATATCAGGCATTTTTGTAAAAATTGAGCAATCAAGCGGCAAGAGAATAAAATCCTATAACGATTTATTCGTAAATATACTGGGAAGTCGATTTCGATTAGTGAGCAAAGGGTAAATGATGATGGAGGGGTTTTTCCGAAGGTTTGTTCACCAATTCGGTGGATTTTTTTGTGAAGTTGATGCATGAGGGGACTAGAATTTCATGAGTGGATAATTTTCGTCTTACAGTTTTTGTTTGTGAATGACAAGTTGTGGGTGTGAACCTGTGATAAGTTATCTATTGATTCGTGAGAAAATGATCTTGTCAATAAGTCCGCAGATTTCAAATGTTTTGGGTCAAATTTTTGTGGATAGTTGCTTCAATAGAAGATAATTTGAGAACGATAGAGTGAAATTCCTCGATTGTTTTTTCAATTTCGAGCCTCAAAATGAGCCCTGACAAATCTAAATCGTATCATTTGGTTGGGAAATGTTGTTAATTAAAGAGATTTCACTCCTTCCCAAATGAAAATAACAATTCAGTAGCAACGCGGTAAAAAGATTCAAATCGATTTTGACTACTGGCCAGTTTTGAATGAATATCTCGAAAGCTAAGGGAGATAGCAAAATTATTGTTAAAACCTTTTCTGTAGCCCTTCATACGCTCTACAAAAAAGGTTCTGACAAAAATTTCATTATCTCCCTTAGATTCTGAGATATTCCTCAAAAACCCAGTTAAGGGCTAAATCAGCTTGAAAGGTTTAAGCACTTCGCTTCTGAATATATGACTTTTATTTGTTGTTTTCGGTTTTTTAAAGTGAGGAATTTTAAGGAATAAATATAGTCTACATTGGAAGGCAAAATCCGATGGTGGAAATCAATCTCTTGTGGGTTTGATGAGAAATAACTCATCACAGGTTCAACTGTACTTGAAAATCGTGACGAATGTCAAATGCATAAAAGGATTATCGGTACACTTGTCTTGCCAGAAATCGTTATTTGTGTAGTGGGGAACAAATCACCTATCGTTAACTTAGGAACTTCCAGAAGTATTATTAGTAAAAAATATTAATTAAGCAATAAAGCCCAAATCACAGAGCGAATATTGAGTAAACAGCCTACAGTACATCAGGCACCGTTTGCTTGAGGATGTCATAAGGATCTCTTTTAAGGAATTTCAACAGAATTCCTCCCTCGTATCAGGGAATCCTGTCATTGAAAAATCGCAATTTGTTCATAAAATTTGTGGAAACTGTAAATTTCGGTGTAATTATTCAGGATGAAAATTAAGCTCCATTTCGTGATGAATACTTATCATCAATTGAAAATTTACGTAAATCGTAAAATCTTCATCTCATTACTACTTGAAACCGTTTGACTTCACTCAAATTTCATCTGAAAATTGAAAATTTTATCTGAAAAATTATCTGAAACTTGACATTTTTTAGAATTTTTCCTTGTGAATCAAATTTAATGTCGTTCTCCTGAAAATTTCTGCTCAATTATCCATGAAATTCCATTTTTCTCTAGCAGTGAGACATCAAATTATTTAAGAAATCAGTGGTTTTTGAGGAAAAGTAAAAAAAAAATTTGGTTTGAAAAAAATCTCCTGGAAAGTCTAATTTTCGAGTAAAAAAGGCCAGAGTTTACTCCATTTTTAAATCTATTTTGCCCATATATAACTCATAATAGGCCTCACCAGTAAAAATATTTTGAACATCAGCAATTGATGGAATTAATGGAAGTTGGAAGAAATCAAGTATTTTTTTTATATTTAATAATGATATTAGATTTGATATTATTAATAATTATATTTCATTTTCTTCAAGCAGTGAGACATCAAATTATCTAAAAAATGAGCGGATTTCGATAAAAATCTCAAAAACTTTTTTGTGTTAAGAAAATGTTCTTCTGGAAGCCCTAATTCTCAAATAAACAACTAACTCAATAATCCTCACCAGTAAAAAAAACAATTTTGTAAATGAAAAATCGACGGAATCCTCATGACATTCTCATCAATTAAGAATTTCTCTTCCTCCGAAGAAAATAAATATAAATAGTCTGAGATAATATCATCCCTAACTAGAAATATCAGAGAGTCTAAATTCAAGACTTGGAAAAAAAACTTGAAAATAATGTAACCTTGAGAGTACCAGCGAAGCATATACATAGTCTGTATGGCAGTAGTGGCATAAGTATCAATAATTTCAGATCTTACTTAATAATCTATAAAAAGAGCTATTTAAAAAATAGTGGGACAATTGACAACAGAATTGACGAATGTCGTGTGACTTGATATTCCCACATAATTCCTTGTGTCATCGTAAGAACAACACTGATAGTGTGAATCTAATATCAATCGATCGTTTAAATAATTGTCTGGGCAATATTCACATTATCGTAAACTTGCTTAAGTTTATTCTAGTTTTTAACGCGTCGAGATCCTTCCATCTGTCTCTTACCCGGGTAGTTGTACAGGGTGTCTTTTGAGCTCGTAGCTGGGTCCAAGGTGATATCGAGATTTAAAAAAACTGTCGAGAATACAAGAACGTGCACGTATGCGGTTAAACTTTGAGGTATGTCTCATCAGCCCGAGGAAATTAATCAAATTAGAATTAACAACTGCATCAATTAAGTTGTTAGGAGTAAAAGTTATTCAGTTGGGATTATTTGTATTTTATTGATCTAGCATTATGAGAAAGAGTATCCTGTGAATAACAACAGAAAATGTATGAACCAATAAAAAGATAGTCTTTCAGATATTACGTCACAAAATTCGGGACCTCCCTTCGCCCGTGTTATGGCGTATTTTTTAGTTTCTTTATAAAAGTGAATTTGAAAACGACACGTATGAGAAATTCAAGGATATCCAAGTACTTTGGCTATTTTTCTCCAATGAAATGCTTCTCTACTTTTGTAGTCGAAGATCAGAGCTTTCTTACAATGATTTCATTATTTAAACTTTGCAGGTCTGAATTTGAATCTCGATATTGAACCGTTAGAAAACATTTAAAAAATCTGAACAAAAATGGGAAAGTTTAGTTTTGAGGAAGATTGATGAAAGAAAAATAGAATGAAGAAAACTTGATGGACACAATTGGGGCTTGTTTTAGATTCGATTAATTAATGCTCCTCAATAATAAATGGGTTAACTCCATTAATTCCTTTAAGACCTCAAAGTATGACTGAAAATTTTCAATTGAAAAAATTTAGGTCAGCCATCTTGTGAGCTTTAGCGCCGCCACTCGTCAATTGAACATCGCGAATACCAATCTAAATGCTTCTAATTCGATTGTTTGCAATTATCTATCCGGAAACTCATGTTTTTCAATATTGTAAAAATATATGCGGTCACGTGTACGAGAAAACGCTTCAAGACTATGAATCATTGGATTGAATGTGAGAGTATACAGCTCTTATGGCGGCAAAGTGCTAAATTTTCGGAAACTAAGGTTGATATTGCGCCTAAAAATACTTCTGGTCTATTTCCTAAACATTGAAAATGATTTCCACCCAAGAATGGCCATCAATCTTCCGATTCTTCAATATTAGGGGAATTTCCGACTTACATTGATTAAGCTTTAAATATACGAATCCATTTTTAAAAATATTAAAAGAAATGATAATCTCAATTTCCAATTGACGATGAATTAAATATTTAATAATATGAAACTGTAAATTTTCTATCAAGTAAATAATACTAAATTTCTCATAAGGGATTATTCAATTACCCAAACAATCGTCAGTCTTCCTAACTAAATTACTGATTAGTAAATAATTCGAAAGTTGAATATTTAAATTGATGATCACCTCGATAACTAAAATTGAAGGGTGTACTAACGAATCGACTACTTAATAATTTACCGGTAATTATAATTTATGAATATGGCTATCCCTGTTTCCACCAGAAAAAATGGCTCGAACTACTTGGATATCCTCAACTGGACGCATGAGTATTTTACGACTTTCCCGAATCCCTTGGAAAATCAGCCAGAAACTGTGGTCAGTGTACAGTCATCCCTTTCTCAAAATAAATACTAGACCAATACTAGAGTTATTCTTCAACTAAAACACCAGCAAGGCACATCATAATTCCACTGACTGAAAAAATTCCTATTGTCTTGACCGACTGAATCACCTCATAAAGTTAGAAAACATCCTGACGGAAGCTGTGTTACTGTTTTAGCCCAATTAATAATGTGCATGCGTATTAAGCAGTTATCACATGAACATATTAATAGCAACGCGATACGTAAGACGTGGATTGTGATTGCAAAAAATTATTTTTAATGTTTTAAATGGACTAAAGAGAAGTCATCGGAGGATTAAAAGAAGCTGTTGATACTCACGTTTTCACCAGGACCACCGAAACCTCCTAAGTTATAATCTCCCATTCCACTGCCACTGTCTTCACGAGGTGTGCCAGGACCACCATTCGCTGGACTATTCTTCATTCCGTCTAAACCATCGCCGTTTAATACTGGACCCATTGTGTTTGGCCCCATGGGACCCATCGGCCCACCCTCAGGCCCTCCACTCATCGGGAAGTCCTGAAACATTTACAGGAGTATAATGAAAAATAAGCAGACAGTTTATGCATCTGAAGGTATTTTCAACTGTATTTTCACTCCCCTTCAGTGACATTTTTAATCTTATGTCGATTTTGCCCCTTTTCCCCATATAAAAATAAAATGCAAACAATAATGCACGGTTTTTTAAAATTCGTGTCAAGTTTATGGAAAGGCTTGCAAGTGGCATTGAATAACTATTTTTGAAAAAAATTTTGATGAATTTAAAGGCAACTCACTCCAGGCATATTGCCTCCAGGTACTGGTTTCATCATGGTGTACATATTTTCACCACCACTATTACTGCTGTCTTGTGGACTTGGCATTATGGGTGTACCTGGACCTGGTGGCCCTGTAGAGCCTGGAGGACCACCATAATTACCCGGAGACGATGAGGAATAATTCATAGGCTGTTGAAAGAACCACAGGAATTAATTTCCCCGGTAACTTGTGTGGAAAAAATATAATGTGAGGGAGAAACTTACAGTCGATGTGTTTGGCTGCCACTGAGGCCTGCCCCCAGGTCCTGCCATGCTCATAGGTGGCATACCAGGGCCCCCAGGCCCTCCAGGACCTAAACTACTGTTTGGAGGTGGTCCTCTCATCCCTGGACCGTAATTCCCGGGGCCCATTGGTCCCATTGGCCCTCTAGGTGGATTCATCCTCGGGTTCATTGGATTCATACCGGGAGGACCTAGAGAAAGACGTCTCAGTGATTTCCACTCCAATATTTGTACTTCCACTACACCATTTCTTAAATTATTATATTTCAGGCTAATTCTAGGTCACTAATTGGCATTGGTACGGATACTGGGTAAAGCGTGGCCCAATCCAAGTGTTTAATTGTTTCAGCATGAAGAGTTAATTTTTGGATTAAGGTATATTCCTAGAAAACAGGTTTTTCTTACGATTGTCCACATGTTTTTCATGGATAATGTTTGTAATGTTCCTTAGCTATTGAAAAAATTCCAACTATCTGTACTACACGATTTAGGAGATAATAAATGACGAATCTTATGACAAAATAATAAATAATGAATCTTATGACTGAACGGTTCTTACGACGTTCTTAAAAAACAGATCCGTGATTGATTCAGAAAATCCAAATGTGGTGAATTTGTTGTAAAATTTTATTGTTCATACTTTCTGCGATATTCAATTCCAAAAAGTGGAAATTTCGTGAAGTCATTTCTTATTTAGTTCAAACAATTAATTGACAAATAATTTCTTATTTGATTCAAACAGTTATTGTTGCCTTCATCAACAACGTATGACGATAGAAAACCCGTTACTTATGAGAACTACATGCAATAAATTAAGTCATTTAAAATTTTTTCCGGAAATCCATCGAGACTAACTTTTGAATGGTGTGGTCTTGGGATATACCTTAAGGGATTTCATTTCTGAGAATAAATGATGGCACTGATTTGAAATTTTTGTAAGATGTTCATTGCAGTTGTCAGTAAAAGCATAGTATATTGTGCATCAAGGGCGGAAAGTCATATTTTCCCGCCCGAGGTGCACGTCCTATTTTTTAACACGCCTGCAAAGGAAAGTTCGTATTTTGCTCTTTGATGAGCGGGAGGGAAGTACGAACTTTCCGTGCAGGTGTGTGAAAAAATAATCTGTGCGCCTAGGAAGGAGAATAGGTCATTCCTTGGTGCCCAATCTACAATTTTTTTTTGTGAAAAAAAAAATTCGATCATTAGCTATCTCGAATTTTCTAAATTGATTTATTTTGAAAAAATGTCACAAAAATGTGGCACTGAACGTTGTTGGATTCCCCGAGTGACCGAATTTTTTTGATCACACTGCAAGGGGAAATCTAATTTCCCACAGCTAGAATTGACTGTAATAGAGAAACAGCCCTAAGGATGTTGTGCTATTTGCAGGAAAGAAGTGTTCAAAAATCACGTCAGTAACAAAGCGTTAAAAGATTAAGGAGTCTCTCTTTTTGGATTTAGGACACCCTTTGCCCGTGGAAACGCTAAGCTGTATGGAAATGCATGCGAATTTACAAAAGTTTCATATTCTTAAATAATTTATTAGGACGCAGGATTGTGGCGCGAAAGCTTGCGGAGTTCTGAAAAACAAATAAAAGCGTAATGTCTGGCTCACTCTGCATGTGTTTTAGGCATTAGGGTTGTAAAACGATAATTAATTAGTCTTCCAAGTGAATATAGAGAAACTATTTTATCAATTTTTCATGTGCATTGATGCATGACGTACTAATGGTGCAAGAGACGATTTAAAATCCTCAGGGAATGATGATTTCAATTGAACATAGACAATATTAACACAAAGTTAATCCGAATCACAATGAAAATTCATTAATCACATTTAGCTGTTTGACATCGACTCAAAATTTAAGCAAATGACGTTATTTCTTCACCTTGTCATGCTGAAATGCTAAATTGTGAACACCAGAACGTGAATTTGTGTCTAGTGTGACAGAAGCTTGTGCGACTGTACTTGTTCGGAGAAAAAATTCTGTTGAAACTTATCGCTATTCGCGATGTCAAATTGACGAGCGGCGGCGCTGAAGCTAGAAGATGACTGACATAAAGTTTTCCAATTAAAAATTTTCAATCTCTCGATCAGGTCCTGTGAAGATCAATGGAGTTAAAACCCATTTATTATTGAAGAGCATAATTAATCGAAACAGCTACAATTGTGTGTATCAATATAAAGCTTCTCCTAATACCACTTTTGCTGATTCTATTCGAAATCTTTTATGTCGGCCATATCGAAGTGTCAGCCCTGTCTCGCGTCCGTTTAACGTCACGAATATTGAGAGGAAAAGAATATGTTCTCAAACGAGATTCGTTTGGGCGCAAAAATCGCAAGCTGATAATGGCAAAGATAGGAATTTTGGCATTTGAGCATACGTAATTCCAAAACATAAATCATCGCTTTCAATGACGAAATATTTCTGTTCGGGAGGAAAATATCTCTCATAAAGTGAAGTTAATCAATACTGTTAAAAATTTTCCATTTGAATAGCTCGTAAGAGTTGTGGAAATTTTTAATAAGTAACATTTCCATGAAATTTCAAGAAATTTTATCGTTGAAAATTCATAATGTCACGGAAATATCCGTGGGAACTGTAAATTTCAGTTTACTTATATTTCAGGAAAATTAACGAAAAATCAGGAAAATTCTAACAAATCTCTCCAAATTTTCAGGGAATTTGGCAGTGAATATTCATTTTCACATGAAAATTTATGTAAATTGTGAAATTTCTACCTTCCTGCCGCTAAAAAATTGCGATTTTACATGAATTTTCAGAAATTCCATTCCTTTTTTCTCCTTAAATCGACTTTAAAGTCTTTTTCCGGGAAATTCAGCAAAATTTTTTGAACAGTGAAGAAATGTTTTGTTCCTAAGTTGCAGGATTTCTATCATATCGATATTTGAGAATTCATTTGGCAACTTCAAGGATTCTATATTGAAAACTACTCTCATTCGTTTCGCATAATGCGAACATTTTTTGTAGCCAAATACGTGTGGTAATGTTAGAAATGAGATGTTCAACTTCCCGATTTACGTCGGATAGTTATTGTAATGGCCCCGAAAATCGAAACCAGAAATTTCACAATATCTTCAAGTTTCATGATCTCTAGAAACTTTCTTGAAGTTGTTTGGAGGATATTTGTTTGTCTGCGTATGCGTTTTTATTTTTCGAACGGTCTCTGATTGTTTTTCTTGGTAATTATCAACTTGCAATTTTTCCAAACGAAACTGATCCAAGAACCTCTTTTTCACTCAACGCGAAACCGAGTAATCGTGGAGCTTATTGGTTTTTGAGGAATTATCACCAGAAATATTGCATTTTTCAGTAGATTTTAGGTAGAAAATCCCGCAAGACCAGCCAATTACACGACTACAACAATTAATTCCTAAATTTTAATAGGAATTTCTCTCCGCGTGAAAAAAGAAATGACAAATAGGCAGAAAAATGAAAATAAAGGGGGGCATGAATAAATAAAATGGGAAAATGTTGATAAAAAACGAGAAGTTAGCCTTGACTAAGTGAGTGTGATTCGGTTGTTGGGGTTGCTTTCCTACCTTGCCACCCTACAAACTCTCCAGCTTCGCCTGAGGAACACAAGAGCACACATTAGTACGGCAGGTAGGTAAGGTATCAAGTTGATGGTGGCAGAGCCTAGTTGTTCAACAGTAGCACAGTTATTTTTCATTATTAAAAATTTTTCCGCTCTACGAACATTAATCTCCGAAAAAACGCGATAACGCGGAGAATAAATTCTCTTCTTCACACCAATATCATTCCTGTTCAGTGTATTCTGATTCTTTTCTGAGATTATTTTACCCCTTTCTGTTTAGAGGATAGAACAGCCCTATTTAAAGTTTATTTACACCAAGAAAGGACTAGGCATCCACAGATAAGTGTGATTCACACGGAAAAATGGTAAATCATCCATGAGTCATTGCATGCTATTCAAGAGAAAACTAATTTCGTTTAGATTTTCGTTGGAAAAAAGGTTCCTTGCAAAAATTATGCAAAATTAACCGTAACTCAGGACATATCGACTGAATGAAGACTATCAGATATAGTAAAAGACTACTACTTGATTCATTGTACTGATTGAAATCGAACCATCGCAAAACTACTCTCATTCGTTTCGCATAAAGCGAACATTTTTTGGAGCCAAATACGTGTGGTAATGTTAGAAATGAGATGTTCAACTTCCCGATTTACGTCGGATAGTTATACACACACGGCCCGGAGTTTCAGAATAAAAATTTGAAAATCCAACTACTTATGATATTTTTGGCCGATATTTTCATTGATAGGGTTTCTAGACACTTCAAAATGAGGTGTCAAATTTTTTCAAATTCTTCTGAGGCTTTACTGCAGTGTAATTTAAAAAATCGCAAAAAGTGTGGCGCGACGCTCATAGCGCGGCCAACGAAGTGTTAATACACAATTCGAGCAGCTGATAAAAAGATGCATTTGTATTGTGGAAAGTTTGCAAAAATTTAATGTTACAGAGTTTAATCAAAGAATTAACTATTGAGTTTTGGTTATGAGAATATTCGTGTTGTGTAATCCTCTATGTGAAAAAGGCTGAAATGTCCTCAGGAAAAGATAAAATACCTCAAGCGGAGGTTCACTTGTCCCCGATGACTTTTATGCGTTCGACTGATAAAATATATCTTAAAAAGGGAAAGAGACACTTTGGTAAAATGTCATCAACGAAATTTGGAAGAAAAATGATCTGTTTCGATTAATTGAAACCTACACCACTGCTCTCGACCAGGCATTAACAAATAAATGTTGAAATAAAAAACCAATCCACTCCACATCACAGCAATCCAATCCGTTGTCAATGATAACGCTTTCGTTCAATTTGCTGTGTATTGAATATTTATATATTTATTGATAAACATGCGCTTATGTCATTCGTTCCTTGAAACGCCAATACTCAAATTAATGAAAATAGTTGGAAAACGTATCGAAGAATGATTATTCAGGGGTCAACATTTTTGTTTCTTACCTTGTCTCGTTGGATCCATACTATTTGGCATCATTGTTTGTCCTGGTGGCTGTAACATAGGAATGTCAGGAATCTAGAGTTTGTCATGAAAGATCATTATTTCGATTGTTAACTTTGCGTTTTCTTAAGGTATATCCCACGACAATACGAACCAGAATAGTTAAGATCCTTAACAAGTATCCGTACCCCTTGCATATGTTGAATGTTAGTTATTAATTTTTGGAAACCGAGAAACTTCAGACAATGCACACTATAGTAATGAAGTGATTAAAGTTTTTTGGTTTCCAAAAATTAATAACTATAGATAGGAGGACGATTTTTAAATTCAAAAACATGAAAGGGGTACCGTTACCTGTTAATAAGACAACTTCGTTAATATTTTACTTACCCCATTGAAATCATTTCCCATTTGTGGCATACGAACTGTCGGCCTAGGCCCAGATGGATATCTAGGTCCCATAAACTGCAACAAGAATATTCATTTTGCATTTCCAAATAACCGACTCTCCCTCTTGAATCAAAGTGATGTAAAAGTCTTGTCATGATATTCAATATTATTCATTAGTCGACAAGTTGTGCATCTCCCGTTATGAAGTTATATTAATGGCACGTTCTGTACTCTTGATATCACTACACGCGTTTTTGGAAGAGCGCAAGGGGTCATACTCTACACTAATGCGTTACAATCGAATTTGAATATCAGAGTTCTGTTATTATTATTCAATGAATTTTCGTAATGATGCATGATCACGAGAAGAGCAACTCAGGCGGGGAAGTGGCGAGGGGTTCAAGATGCCAAAGACTCTCAGTAATCCGTTAATAAACAAATGCAAGGATTTTCTTGAATCACTGGAAACGTATCAACTTCCAGTCTTACCTTGCTGATACTTTCGGAACATTTGAAAGTATCCGTTTGGAGGAAACTTATGAGCTGTTAGTGCACAAAGCCGGATGATGGAGCTTACCTTATTCTTTCAGCTTATATTAAACAATGTTTTCGAATAACATAAAACACGTGGATATAATGAAAATTTCCCCGATGAGTGGAGGTAACCACTCGACAGTGGAGATGTGATATGTGAAAAGTCAATTTTCGCGTGTTTGTTGATAGTGAATTTATCTTAGATATGAGAGCTTTCAAGAGAAATTGTCCAACAACTTTTCTTGTCTCTGAGACAAGAAAATCTTAATTTTTGACAACTGTCTTTGGACTTTTCCTTAATATTCATTAAGATAATTAGACGAATTCATCACCAGTTTGTACTTCTAGTGAAGATAGTTTCTGTACAGGCGCATCATTTCGAAAACAAGTGTAGGACTAAAAATTCATTGTTTTTAGTAATTGAACATTGTAATCATGCGTAAACAAATTTTTATGAACAAAAAAAATGGTAGGTTGAAACAAAAATACGGGTTCAAAAGAAATTTATGAAATTCAAAATTCATTTATTCATGATCTATTGCGAATAAAGTAAAAGGGAAGCTTAACTTCCTTGTTTGGAGTGTAACGAACATTTAAAGGGAAGCTAAAAGCGTATGAAAACTACGGCGCAAAGAGTATTTTGAAAGTAAAAACAGGAAAAAATGAAGTTTTCTGTGGTTACACGGGGCAAAATCAATCGGGTTCGCGATTTTCCCTAATTATTCCCATATTTCGTCATATATCAGAAACTGTTCAATGGGTCCGAAGGCCCAGTGAAGACTTAAATTTCACCGACGTATCCCCTTAATGAAACATTCAACAAGACATGAAAATTGACTTGTCTTTCCACGTTCCCCCACTCCACTCCTGAATGACGAATAATTAATCAAACAAATAAAGTATTAGTATTAATATCATGCTGATTGTGTATAAATTAGTAACACGTATAACGAACAGGTATATTGAGATAAAAAACAGGAGGTAAGCAGACTCTAAAGTTAATTCAATAAATGCAATCATAATGATTAGGTAAATTGGATGAAATGATCAGATGAACGAATGAGGTTAAACAATTTCTTGATAAATGAACGTGATGTGTGTGTGTTGAATGAGGCTTACCTGGGCGGGCATCATCTGCGAGTGTGAGGGCGGGGGTGGCTGGGGGTGCTGGGGAGATGGCTGTGATGAGGGGTGTGTGGGCGGAGATGGTCGCATTGTCGAGTTGTTCTGCAACAAGCAACGCAAACGACAGACATGTAGCAACACTGCGATCCAGGCAACAACTATAATTACTAGAGAGGCTCGAAAAAAAGGGGGAAGGGGGATGAATGAGAAGTACGATCAGGGGTCGATGAATGGTTGTGAATAAGGTTTCTCCCATTGAGGTCTGTCGAAAAAATTTGAGGAAATTGTCAGCACACGTGATATTCCAGTAGTGAGATAGGGAAAGTCTTCAGTTTTTGGTCATTATCTCGGAACGTGAAATCGATTAAACATGTTTTTTATGAATTTTCAGAGTTTTTAACTCTTAGGTACCGAAATATATCTTTGAAGTTAATCTGCAGTTCTTTCTTAGGGAATTCTAGTAGTCTATGATGAGAGATAAAGAACGTGTTCTCAAACAAGTCTTGAAATCCAATTAAATTATGAATAATCCAAAGTTAATCAAGAAATATTTCATTCCTAAATTACAGGATTAATATTGTATTGTTATTATTACTTTATTTAGTTACAAACAATTGATTCATCTTTGAATATTGAATTTTGAGTTTCGTATAAAACGAACATTTATGAGGAGCAAAATACATACGCTAATATAAAATAACTAATAAATGGAGCTTGAGGTAAGATTTCTTGTTTGCAGAGAAACTAACAATTTTTTAGAACAACCGAATTAATTTTAGCGACAAAAATTTTTCATCTCTTTTTGGTAATTTTCAATTCGCATTTAAAAAAAATTCAAACAAGACTTATTTGAGAACATATGCCTTTTCTCACAATAAAGATATATTTTTGTGTCAAAAAGCATTCGATTGTTTGTCTTCAATCATATGAAATATTTATAGATCTGCATATCAATGAAATACGATCTTTATATGAATCTATTCGCAATTTTCGATTTAAATTCCTCCTCTGAAGTTGTGCAGGAATCTCACATCAATAAAAAAATCCCAGAAAATTGTACACTTTGAGTAGGGTCAGCACATACGATAAGAATAATCACAGTGATAAATTTAAACTGTACAATTTTGCTGAACATGGACGTAGAGATATGAACGAAGAATTGAGCAAGCAAGTACCATATGCAAAATCCTGTCGTCAGATGTTTCTTTCGCATATGTATGACCACAGGAATTCTTCTAGTCTCTAGGTAGGCTTTTTAAGTGGTAAAAGTAACTATTCAAATGCCGAGAGCTTGCCATAAAACTTTGAATTTCAAAAGTATTTCCATTTCCACTAGACGAAGAATTTAGTTATCATTATGCAAATGAGGATGCAAAAAAACGATTCAACAGTATATTTGGACAAGTGTTTGGCTCTACTGTTCTATTGTGGTATATCTAGCTCTAATATCTAGATAATATTTTTTCGATATTATTCAATAATGAAATTTGCGTCTTCTACATTGACTTATAACTCAGCAGAGAAATAGAAAAACAGTCAAAGTGATTGGACGAGCGCACATATATGAGTTAATAAATACATAGCACAGGAGTAATGGAAAATAAATATACATGTACATAAAAATGGTGTTGTCAAGCATGGACACAAGACTCTGGTATTTACACTTGTTTCAAAATCACATGAATAAATTCAACTCCATGAAACCATCGATAACAAAAAGAAAATTCAACATTTTCAATGAATTTAATCAACAATTTCCTGCCTCCTAGAGCACTAGGTAATTCCACCCTAATAACTCAATCCAATGAGCCAATAATATTTGAATCAAGTGTAACTCTAGCCATGATTTTATACTTAAATAATAGCTATAACAAAGTGGATGGAGAGACACAAATGTTAGTGGGGGATAAAATAATTTCACTTGTGAAAAAACGTTCATGAATTCTCCCTTTCCGAGTACGAATTCGATGTAATTATCTCGACGCAACATTCACATTTATGTACAACGTGCACCGTATGAGATGATTTATCATTTTCAATCAGTGATATTGTACGACGAGATGAATTGACAAATACAATGTGAATAATTGGTGAAAATATTGATTGTTCATCATTCAATCCATGAAACTTGGTTCGAGGGATGTTAATTCCGAAAGAGGATTTGTAAAGAAAAATGGTAGGACTAGACTTTCGATTGAAAAATAGGATGTGATTAACTTACTGGAAAGAATCCAGGGGGCATTGGGCCACCAGGCATGCCATCGTTGGGTGGCATCTGCCCAAGTGGTGATGGTGCTGGTCCAGCATTCTGTAATAATCTCTTGGTTAAGCAGTCGCACTCCCACAAAAGTAAATGGAGGAGAATCTAGCACTAATCAACACGGAACAATTCATCATCTTTCATTGTACGACGACTGAACGTTGCTTATTTTATCAGAGGGCAGATTAATTATGTGGATAACTCGTCACGTGGACAATTTATCAAGTGACCGCTCCACTCCAATTTCAAGGGATGCAGGTGTTGAAAATTGATAATTATATGAAAAAATTAAACGCAAACTGCGAACTTCAGTTGAATTGTTGCATGGAAATTGATAAAAGTAATGAAAAACAGGTGTAATTTGTTACTGAATATTAATGATTTGATCACAAAAATTCAAGTAAATTGGACAGTTCTGTTTTTGCTGCTGAAAAATTGGTAATTTCGTTAAATCTTCAGTGAAAGTCGAGCAGAGGAATTTGGGCAGGAAATATCTCAATAAAATAAGTTATATAGAAAAATCGAATTCTATTAATTTTTTCAATGAAATATTTTCCACTGTACATACCAATTATTCAATAGAATTGACCGAAAGCTAATAGAAACTTTAATAGAAATCCAATAGAATTTTCTAACAAATTCATTAGGTTTTCCCATGAATTTTTTTTTGCACGTAAAGAAGTCTTTGAACTGTCTATGGAATTAAATCGAAAACCATCATTATCATTTTTCTTCTGTTTTCATAAAAAAAAAAATAAAAAAAATTGAGCCGAGGAATTTCTACAGAAAATACCTTAATAGAATAAGCTGTATAGAAAAATCCCATTCTACTGATTTTTTATCTGGAATTTCCCATTGTACATTTTAATTTTCCAATAACATCGGCTACAAACAAATGGAAAGTTTAATAAAAATTCCATAGAATTTTCTAGAGAATTCGTTACGTTTTTTGATAAAATTTTTTCGTATATAAAAAATTTCGTGAATGAAAGAGTCCATGGAATTAAATCGAAAACAATCATTATTACACGTGTTACACGCAATGCCCGATGATGCAGAAAGACTACCAGAAAATCATCGATTGAATAAATTATTCGCTGAGGAAGCACTTGAGTGATGCATTTTCCACAGAATCAATTGTCCAAGTGATGAAATGTTCACTGATAAGTTGTCCATACAATAATTTTCAGTGATGAAGTTGGCCAGTAACATCACAATACTTTGTGAAATAAAAATGTTACCAACAAAAGAAATACATTCGCGGTAAGGACAGAGGGAGATGCGTGAATTTATGATTATAATTGTAAAAGCGTGAGATTATCAGCATGCAGATTAAGGATCATTGTTACTATTCCTAAGAATGGTAAATAACTTAGCAATTCATTAATTCAGTTAAAGCCCAATGATTTGAAATTCAAGCATTTAATCGGGAGAATGTCGACGAGTTAAACTGACCCCCAGTTATGAATGAATTATTACAGCAGAATACTTACGTGAGTAATTCCATTCACTCCATAACCACTGTTTACAAATCCCTAGAAAATTGATACAAGCCAATTAGTAATATTTCTCATGCAACTGGCGATTGTTCCATGTTAAGAATATGATCTGAGGTAAAAATTGATGAATTTCATGATTTTATACTCACATAATCGTGAAAAGCTTTTGCTTCACTACTGTGTTCACACGAGTCACGTCTCTCAGGTGCAGCACAGTACAAGTCCCAGAATACACTGTAAAATAATATTTCGTTGTAAATCATATTTAATTTTATTGGCTTATGGCAAGTCAGGGTAATAAATAAAAAACACTTTTCTTAAGAGCCATTGGACTTGGTTTTTCTTAAGGATATCCAAGTACTTTGGCTATTACTTCCGAATAGAAGCTCTGTAATCCTTTCAATTTACGTTTCGGATTCATAAATTATAATTACCGTTAAATTATTAAGTAGGCAATTCGTTAATATCACTCTTCAATTTTAATTATTGAAGTAATCATCAATTTGAATATTCAAATTCCGAATTATTTATTAATTAGTAATTCAATTAGGAAAATTGACGATTATTTGGATAATCGGAAATCCTTTATAAGAAATTTAGCATTATTTGTGTAAAGTTTAGTATTATTTACACTAATTATTCGTTTTTAGACATATAATCGATATTCAATGCATGAGAAATCTCACTCCAATAGCCCGCGACTTTTAAAACTCATAGTAGTCTCCCTTAACAAACCCAAGTTATAGGGGAGGCTGGGGTAAAACGGACACTTTTGACTTTTTCTAAAATATTAATAAGGGGTTGAAATGTTGATAAAATTTAATATTTTTTTTTCTCAATACAAAGAACAATTCGTTCCCTTTGTGACGAGCCTAAACTGAGCTCAATTGATCGATTTGTTTCTGAGTTATGAATAATAATAAAAAAGTCTAAAGTGTCCGTTTTACTCCACCCTCCCCTATCGTTCAATAATACGATCGAATTATTTGTTCTTTTCAATACATTCATTAACAACCAAAAAACAATTCCTAAACTAACTTCAGTTCAGGCTCACTGAAGCGAGAATTACTGAATTTCATAAACAATTCAATGACTCTTCAAAATGATTCATTTCAAAATAACTAAAAACAATGGAGCATAAATCCAGTAAATGAAAAGAACTCACCACCACCACGAGTGTAGAAACCCTGGAGGTTCCCCGAGTGTGATATTTTTCTCCCATCGAATCTGCGAAAAAAAATCAACACCATCTCATGAATATCACCAGCAATTGCCCTGTTGTTGATTCAAAAAATTGCATAAATTACCTCCGACAGGAATGTTTGTGCGGCTTTTTGTGCTCCAACATGTAGTAAATACTCATAAACATACAACGCCAGTCTGAAACCATGAAGTAACCAAGAAAAACAGTAAATAACCGAGTGAAACAATGGACGACTGGTGCAACACCAGTAAAATAGTAAAATGTTCAATGATTTCCGCGCTGCTTCGAGTGCATTAATCGGCCGAGTGTCAACGACCCGGCCCGTCAATTCTAACGGAATTCTCCCCAGTCTTTAGTGAAAATGAAAAAAAAAAAAACAATATAATCGAGGGAGAATGCTCTAAAACGTGCATGTATTGGTGCATGAATTGATTCCTCGCAAGGAGTTGAACAATTTTGCGTGAGAAAGAGAGGAGAAAGGGGCCTTCCTTGGATTTTATCTGGAACATGAACAGGGGTGCTCAATCCTAATCTTGTGTCACGTGCTCCACGTATTGTGACAGAGATGCTTGTCAATTATAAAATGATGCACAACAACAAATGCCATTGCAACATTAGTCACGAATTTAAACATTTGCATAATTTATATCATCATCATTTATTTTCGCCTGTTGATAGCAACGAGAACAGATAATTCTCAGTTAGAATTGACTGAAACATCGTCAGCAGCAGTTTATTGATTTTCATTTTGAAGCTGTTGCTTTAAAAAATGCAAATACGTACTTTTCCCTTGCTTGACTGTCTGAGGGCACTGCCGACCCCTTCCCCTTAGCGTACATTGTTGTGAACTTGTCAATCTATCCAGCGTTGAACTCCACCACTCGAAAACTCCCCCAACCGTTGAATCCACTCCGATAAAATTTTAAAATCCCAAAATCCCCCGAAAACCATAAAACCCCAGTCGATTGTTTCCAATTTCCCCCAGTAAACAAGGAACAAAATTAAAAACAAAAGTAAGAAAAAAGTTTCCTCTGCACCCGCGTCACAGCCCAACCGATTGCCAACAATTGATCTCTCCGTTCTCAACAACAATGAAAAAAAAAAAATAATAAAACCGAAATTGTTCTTTTATCCTTCAGCCAACGGCTTCACTCCTCATGGCTCCGTTTGCGGGTTAAAATCCGGTGTACAGTCGCGCGTCGTCATTGCAGTACAACAAAACTCGTGTTATTCACCGTAACGAGTACAACTGAACGTTATATTCTTCAAACGATGAATATTTTCAGACGCGTGCTGAAGTGAGATGGGAGAGTTAACAGGGGCCAATGGGCAAAAACTGATGGTTAGGAGTAAGAGGGAGACACTTGAAGCTGTTGGCGTTCTCTCGCCTTTTTCTACCGAGTTTCTTCGCGTATCGTGTTATCACAAGTTACTTTATCACTCAAGTGTTCAACCCCCACGGCAGTTAACAGTGGGGTGTCAATTTTTTTGTGAATTTCCGGGCCTTTTGTCACCAGGTAAATGTCCCTTTTTTATTCAAACAAATTTCCTTTAATCTGGAGTTTGTTGGGACGAAGTTACGCCTCTGTTGGTCACTTTACTTGGTCGTCGCACCTTACTTCACCGCGCTGCCTAGCATCGCCTCCGTACACCCCCCACAGTATAACACTCTGTTTCAACGCTGTACACCAACACGAGTGGAGAATATTTTTCTTTCCCCGCTGGCTGCACCGCTCTTTCTCTTGTTTTCGGAATTTTTCGTGATTCTATCCTCGTTCGGGTTTCCAATGCTGCCCCCTCCCCCGGCCACCGACGAGCCCCTCCCCCCCCTTAGGACCCTCGAAATCGCCCCCTCCCCCCGCTCTTTTGTACGTGGCGACGCGCCGAGGCACCCACACACCGGCAAAGCTGCTCCGTTTCGCTGCAGAGAGGGGGGCGAATTATTTCTCACGCACACTATCGGCGGTAAATACACGGATGCTCAACTGTGGAATACAGACACGCGCTCGCTTGTCCGGTTGTGGCGCGTCTAGACGAGGGGCGCATGCGCACCGATACCGGGAAACATCTGCGCGCGCAACAGTGTTTCAAGGTTCAGGAGCGGACGGATTGTTTTGAGAGTTCGCTCCGAAATGAGATTTCGGGGGCGGGGGAAGGTTCGGCAGGTGGATTTATTTATTTATTTAATTGTGTAGATGTTTTTATGGGATTTGTTGTTTTGATTGTGTTGGAGCGGTTGGGACTGTTGGAGAATGTTTTCTCAGCGTTTTTGGGACTCAAATGTCGTTTGTTTACGTCTATTCACAACTGTAATTTTGTTTTTTTTTCTGTGAATTTCTCTTTGTTGGGAAGAAATTGAAGACTTTAGGCATCAGAATTTTTCCATTACTTTTGATTATCTGGAATGATTAAGTTCTATGGTAGGAATAATATTTCAGTAGAGAAGTTTTTCAAGTGTGAAGCTTCAAGTCGCCTCGGCTGTCAGCTGAGTTTTCGAGAAATATCTCGAAATCTAAGGGAGATAGCGATGTTTTCGTAATCACCTTTTTTGTAGAGCGAATCGAGAACTACAAAAAAGGTTCTTACAAAAATTTCGCTATCTGTCTTAAATTCCGAGATATACATTGAAAACTGAATAATAGGGAAAATCGACTCGAACCGTTTTACCGATTCGCTACTGATTTACATTCGGAGATATTGCATATTGTCATTTCCGTAATCGTAAAAGCGTGGTAATAGATTTTTTATTACTACGTCACTGATAAATTCTCGATTCACGATTGGTCCTAGGAACTTGCGCGTACAACTCCGAATGTTTACGAACACCAATACAAGTGCGAGGGCACTCACGTATGATAGGGAGATGGGATTTGGATGGGTAAATCAGAATGTGTAGGGAAGGGGCGAGAGGGGGAGGAGGGGTTTGACACGATGGTGTCCGATGGCACACGAGCGCTGCCGATTTGAAATAGTCGACAATTGACGAGGCCTCGAGGGGGCCAGGACAGGGGGGGGGAGGGGATTGGGAGACACTGGCTGTTCTCATAGGTGTACCGCTTCCCCTTTTTCATTTTTCTCATCGAATCGATATGTCGACGAATGACAACATTGTCCTGATGCATGAAGTGCAGTTTTTTTTCGAAATTTCGATGTTGATTAGATCAACTGAAGATGTGATTCACAGGGCGCTGATAGGTTCAATGATATTATTCAATTATTTGATTAACGATTTTAATCAAGAGAAGGAGAATTAATCAGACGGATAATTGTTCATTTATCAAGCGGAAGTGCTGATTATTCTATTAATGTAATGATGCTTGCAAAATATTGTTTTAGGGATATTAAAAACACTAGCGAACCGGCGCGAAGCGCCTAGTATAAATAATAATTTATACTATTTTATTTTGTTTTATTTTGCCCCCGTTTCTGTCTTCACAATTACATTAATTTTGTTTTATCCATTCTTATTCTGATTATATGTTTTTTGCGTCCGAATGGAAGCATTGCAATCGTTCAAATTTAAGTTTTGGATTTTTTGTGTTATATCGATCCAAAAAGTCCGAAAATACAATTTGTAGACCGTGTCCGTACGTACGTGAGTGGTATCGATATTAATTAAAATTTAATTCATCGATTAGTTCTTTTAATTTTTGAATTTTTTTGAAAATCGGATGTGTCATGATAACTAAAAAAATGTTCTGAATTGATTGATTTGGATGTCCTTTTGACCGAGTTCGAAAATGAACGCGATAGCAATGATCGTTGTTATGATTTATTTAAAAATTTAAAAAAAAATTGTATTTTTTAAAAATCAGAATTCCGGGGATATCTTTGATTATCATACTTCAAATGAATTCAACCAAAGCTTATAATGTTTGTTTTGATGCCATGGAGTCGAAGTTGAAAGATGATAACGACAGCTGTATCGGTTGATTTAATTTTTATGATGATTGTTGAAAATTTCGAATGTTCCATGAATTTCCCTGAAAGTGAAATTTCTGGTGGTTTCATCAAATGTGACGTTTCAAATTCAATCAAGTATACATAAATACAATTTTTCTATTAACACTTTATGGGAGGGCTGAGGGGAGAGATAAAACCGCGAAAAAGACAATCGGTTGTATAGATGAAAGGGATAATAAGAATAATGATAACGATAACATTTAACTGAGTTGAAAATCTGACAAAATTAGTTGAAACGAAATCTTGTTCAATTTAATAAAATGAAGTAAACAATGAATTTTACGGAGGACGTTCAGTAACAAATCATTCTCCGTTACAGAAAAGTTATACGCAATGATGATTGTCCAGTTCTGTGAATAATTGCCCAAATCATTTACGTTCACTGGGATCATTTTTGAGGGAATGCAGAGTAAATTTTAGAGTTTCGGCACAGATTACCCTTCTCATGTTCGGTAAATTTTCCCCGGCGAACGCAGAAAAATTTACTATTCGTCTCGCACATTTTCCCCGATGTACGGCGAAAAAGTACTAAAAATCGAATTCACTCCACGATTACTTAACGTATTCGCTAATTTTAATTGCGAATTACTGCCAAATGTTTGATTGATGAGTGGATTTCACCAAAGATGATTTAATGAATGGAGTAATGAATTAATGAATGAAAAATTTCTTTCTCCATTTAGGAAAACTCGGAGGGAATTCCGAAGATAATTAATTAATCTTCAAATTTCAATGGACGGTCCAGGAACATTAACTTGGGAGGAGTTTCTCCTCAATGCAAAGAGTTTAGTTCGAGTTTCGAATGAAATTTCGGACAACTGGGAACTCCGTGGTGACGAGGTAATACACGCGCAGATCGATAGAGGAATGACTCTCTTGCCAAGGGACTCCATTATGCACATGTATTTTATGCCGTATTCATTCACGTGTGCATATGATATTCGCGGCATCAATACATACAAATTATTCAGTTATTGGACATCAATGATGCCGAGTTTAGTAACAACGAAATTGTGTTTTTGGTCTATGTTATTGTTAGGAAATACCTGGACAGGCTTATTTATGCAGGAGCGTAAAGACTTTTGTATCGAGCGATTTGGCGGCTACATTGAGTGGGAAGAATGCGCGCGAGGAACTGGGGAATTTCGAAGATGTTGATGACCCATTCGAGGCAAAGCGGGTTGGGGATTCCCCGATGTGCGTGGAGCATCATATATTGTGGTCCATGAGCTATGGGGTTCCTGTTCTCTACTTCAATGCTTGGATGTCAGGTATTTGATGAGGAAAGTGATTATGTTGTAACTATTGGAGTATATCTATCAACTCTATATATCAACTCTCAACTCTATCTATCAACTCTTCGTTGCTCACCTGGTTTGTGAAGAATTTTTTCAATTGCGGTTTTTTAATAAAAAATAAACATAATGAATCTATGGCAATTATTTTTTAGAAAACTCATTGACTCAACTCTTTTGGGAAAATTTGGAATTTTCGACAATATAGAGAAACCTTTCTTGTATCTTTTCAAAACTTACGAAATTTTTAAAATTCTTCAAAGGTTTAAGAATTTTCCGGGAGGTTCTAGATTTTTTCATACTGTTAAAAATTTTTGGATGTAATTTCCGGTACACTTTTTGGAAATTTTTATCGAGTTTAGTTACCACTGAAACTTCAAGGAATTTCGTCAGTGAAAATTCAGAATTTCGTGGAAAAATCAAAGAGAACTGTAAATTTCAATTCTATTGTTCCCTGAAAATGAATAGAAAAACAAATTACGGTAAATATATTCTTGAATTTTCAAGACAGTGACACTGAATGCGATTTAGAAGAAAAAAATCATGAATTTTGAGATTTCACTGAAAGTTCTATGTAATTGGGCACTGAATATTCATAATAGATTGTATATTCAAATAAATTAAGGAATTTTCGTTTTTATGCTGCTTAAATTAATGGAATTTTACTGAATTTACAGTTAAACCTGAAATTACATGATTTTTTCCCCCCTTAAATCGCATTCAATGTCATTGTCCTGAAAATTAGTAGTCAACTGTCCATGAAATTTCATTTTTTTGCCAACAGTGTATATTTCTACGTTAATTGATGTAGTAGACGGAGAGAAATATTCAATAAAAATGACGTATCTTTTCCGTAATTCCGGAGCGAAATGTGCTTGTAGGAAATTTTACGGAACCGTCACGGATTTTTTCCAGAGCGTTTCCTAATTTTTACCTGAATCTCCTGTGAAAAATTACGATACCGTCACTTAAATTTTCTGAGTCGATTCAGCAATCGGTGAGCGAACTGTGAGTTCCGTAATTTTTACTGAACATTCCTCTCCGTGTACGTAAGACTCTGGTTCATTTGAATTTTCAAAAGGATTCAAGATTATTTTGGTAAAATACCGGGGGACCTTCATTACATTTATCTTAATTTATAATATTATCATTTCAACTTTCCAAGGAAATATGAAAATACCGGATTGAATAACAAACCAAAACCGAAGGGAATAAACATCCCTGAATGGCCATTCTGTGAAATATTGTTCTCTTGTCCTGTTGAGTTATCGATTGCCCATCGATGCCCTTGGGAATAAGTCATGCATGAGGGATTTCGTAGTAAATCTGTATTAGACCCCAATCTCTCGATTGGGCACTCATAATTGTTCGGAGTCTGGAGAGCTGTCTCGGAAAAAGAATTGGGGGTAAGAGGGACGAGGGATTCGAGTAGATGAAATAGATCAGAAATTGGAGGCGCAGTATTTGATCGTAGATGTCGTATTAAGATATTTCGGTCGAAAAATATGAATGATTAGGTTGATCTGGAACTCATATAGGTTGTTTACACGTCCTGATCTTATTTATTTATGAACAGGTGACTTTTTTTATTAAAATTATTGAAAATCTATCGTGTTTTTTGATCGAATCTACTCCAAAAACTGAGAGCTGAGAGAGACTACACCCAGAAAAATGATTTATTTGAATAAAATAATTTTTTTCTTCGAACTAAATAAATATTTATTCCATACTAACAATTTATTATCGCTTTGAGATGGTAATAAAGTCGAAAAAGACTGTACGAAAAACAATAATTATTGGGGGCTGTACATATGTCACGTAAAACTTTTAGGGGAGGGGAGGGGGAGAAATTTCTGTTCTGTGGTTTCACTACCAGGTAGGATTACATGTCAAAGTGTCAACACAAACAAATTCAACATAATTTCAACACAATTATCAACAAGGCCTTAGAAATCAATAAATATTTATTTTTGGTATGAGAATTGATTGATGGAAAATTAAAAAAATATGGATAATCATTGCCACAACCAATGAGGAAGTATCTGTTTACTTATTTATTCCATTTCATATTTGAAAAAATTTTGATACATTAATTTCTGACACCCATCATAGTAGAGTTTATGGGAAAAATTATCAATGATGGATCATTTTTATTTGTGGCTTTTTGAATTTATTTCTCCTCGTTACACGTAACGACTCAGCTTAAGTGTATTCATACTACTTTAACGAGAGTTCTGCAACGTGTCGTTTTTTTTTTGCCACTGACTATTAGTCGAGCGGAAAAAACCGAAAACACTTGAATCGAAGTGTCTACAAAATTATGGTACTTAAAAAGAGACCACATCATGCGCAATTCCTGAAGAATAGGAATTATTTCTACCAGATGCACGATTTGTTCTCATGTTCATAAAATAGCACATGACTTTTTCGCAGTGATTTTTCGAATGAGACGTATCAAAGTAGATTAGATTTGAAGGAGCTTTTCACGATAAAAAATTCACTGAATATAATCTAAGTTCCTGTCTCCCCCCACTCAAGTTGTTGGTGTCAATAGAATCCTTTCCAACTCCGTCAGCCTTTTCCAAAGAATCCAATTGCTCAAATTCGATGTTGAATGTCCAGATTTCCCGGGGGTAAATGCAGTGACAGTCGAATCAATACAAAATCTCGTGCAACAGGGAGTAGGCTACAATGAGCTATCGCAGGCAATGCATCCAATTCTAGGCACAATATTTCTGCAGTTCCATCCTTGTTTGTCGAGCGAGCTCATTCAGCACACGTCGAAGAGGTAAGATGCCGTCCCCCAGTCTCCATGACTCTATTAAATTAGGATAATCACAGCTTGATGTCGAAAACAGAAGAAAAAGTTCTAATTTTCAGGAGAATGTCACTAATTTCCAGGAACCGATTTATGATTTTTCGGAACACTGGAGAAAAGTTGTGTAAAAATCCGAATTCGAAAATTGATTGAACCCCCAAAACAAGACCATTAAAATTTCTCCACGGACATCAGTTCAAATGTTATTGAATCAAATCTGAAGTCCGTGAAAAGATACAAATTCCTTGAATGAAAATTGAAATTATCTGGAAAAGTTTGAAGCGCTTGGCCGCCCTATATTTTAAATATCCAATGAACTGTTGAAACTGCTTCGTATTCCCTACATTATCGACCAGTCGACAAAATAGGAAAACAGCTAAAATCTACGAAGCTCTTTGAAACCTCACTATAAAAACTAAATTTGATAATCAATTAAATCCTGACAACCATGGTAAAACTCCTTACACTGTTAAAAAATTACACTTGAAATTTCAAGTGAAAACGCTCGAAATTTTTGACAACGACAAAATTACATGAAATTTCTGTAGAATTCTTCATTAACGAATCAGTTAATTGCTTGAATATTCAAGTAATTCTCGATTTTCAGGTGCATATGGCACCGAAAAACCTTGAAATTATTGAAAATCCAGGCAATAACTTCTCTGAATTTTCAATCTGTTGAAAATTGAATAGTATGTGATGTTCAATTTTCACAATAAGTTTGAAAATTCAAGCTTTCATTGAAAAATCAATGATCGTTTAACATGAAAAATCCAATTTTCTTGAATTTTCGAGATGAATGAGAAATGTAGTGACCGTTTTCAATTGAAATTGAATTCAAGTCCACAACATTGAAAATTCAGATGACATGACTTAGTAATTTTCACTTTTATATTCTCTCCGTGTAGAACGGGTGATGTGACGCATATGCATCTCTAATTACAATTGAAAATGCATCGCCATGCACCAAAAATTATTTTCAGCAACAACAAATTGATCAGCTGGCTGAGTACAGTAGGCCCATCAGCCCTAAACTTGAAACTGAGTCTAGAGTATTTCAACCTGACCCTCGAGGAAAGTCCAACCAGCTGATAGCAGTCATAATCGTCCTCATTTTCACCCAGCATGATAAAACGGTTCATAATTGACAATGGAGGAATAAAAATGGAGAAAGGAAATGGAAACGAATGAGCTACATCTATATCCCTCAACAAAAGGCTTTTCTGAATGGCGAATTGGTCAGGCTGACCTATCAGAGTCCTTCGGCATTGTGTCACCAACTTTTTTTTTTCTCGATAAAAGCGGATTGACCATCTACGAGGATTTTGTTTAATCAATGAATGGCTCTGCTGGAGGGTTAAATCCTCTCATTAGTCGTTGGATGTAGCGAGTGGGACGTACGTACACACATGTATGCCATTGATGATGAGATTATTGATCCCGGGAGAGTCAACGCTCGTGTGAAATTCCGGAGTTTGAATTTTCCCTTGCGAATGTGAATTGAGATTTGAAAATAAATTGCATTTTCCCGTCCTTTGGAATGAATTCGACAATTTATTTTACTCAACTGTTAATAATAACTCTTGTGTGTGTGTGTAAGGGTAATTACATTTGCACGGAGAAAAAAGTTGGAGGAAAATTACCGAACAAGTCAAGTACTCGTGGTGCGAACTCGATTTTCAGTACTGTTCACCCTATATCGGGGAAAAAGTGCGAGACGAATAGTGAATTTTTCTTCGGTGATCCGGGAAAATTTACTGAACGTAATTTTAATTAGCCCAGTGAACGTAAATGATTGCTCAATAATTAATTAAAAATTATCTCCCAAATAAGAAATAAAATGAATATTAGCAAATGGTGGAGGGTAGACTCATTATATGTTCTATTATTCATCTTCAGTAGGATTTTTTGAGTGAAAAATTATTATTTCTCTAATTATGCAATTGAAATACATTTTTCAAAGAGCTTTTATTTGTTGCTAATGTAGAATTCAATTGAATTGACTCATTTTTAATTATTCATTTGAATATTCACTCATTTGGGGGATAATTGCATGAATAATAGCGATTTTCGGTTATTTTCAATAGCTGTCTCACTGAAAAAAATAATAACCGCCGAACTACGGCGAAAGACAAGCTCTAAGTGGCGCCAAAATTCGTTTCATTTTATTGAATTTTTGATGAAAATATCTGATTTTTAAAAAAATTAGCTTTTGTAGTAATTAACCCATTACTTCGCGTAAGTCCGGAATCGTCTCGGTGCGAGAGCGGAGGATTGTGGGGCGGGAAAACGGACAAATAGTTAAGAAGATATTCAACCTTTTGCGAAAAACAGTTTCGTTCAATATCTCCCAAACTACTGGCCCAATTAATTTTTTTTCAAAATACTCGTTTTGTTCTCTTACAGAACGAATCGTAAAATATCCTCCACGAACAGGTATTTTTTCATTAATGCATTTGCCACGATTCTCTACGTAATTTTTCTCCAACTTTTCTCTCCATGTATAACATTAATTCCAACATTTACCATATTCGCATAATTATATCCAACTACGGACTACGGAGAAATAAATTGTGGCCGTATCATCTAGAGTATCATTGCGTCATTGAATAACGGAACAAAAGAAGTAATGGAGAGACCTATCGTGGCTTATGCTCATTATTCGGAAGCCCTCATTAAATTTTCAATGAACCCTATTTCTAATGAATACTCACTATTCATTGTCAACGTGCGCATCCCCCCTCGTTCATTCTCATCATTCCTCCCATTTTACTCGACTCGATTTTTTTCGCTCCTATCAAACTTTTAATCTCCAAATGACAGCCATGAACTACCAGCAAATTGCCACGATTCCATGAATAAGATCAATTGAGAGTCACACAAATCATAATGCTGGAGGCAGTATCCACCCGATTAATTTAATCACGTTGATGTATTTTCAATAATTTTAATTAAGGAAAATAAATGTCTGGGGGATTATCTGTTTCAATTTTTATTCACCCGCCCCAATTATTATTCCTCGATGTTTTCGCATAGGGAGATGAAGAGTGTTCTGTTCTGCTCGGAGGGACAAACAAAAATAGCGGGAAGGAGAGTGAAAAAAAATATAGGAGGAAAGATCGGGTGAGTGGGAAGCCCGCCTAAACGTCAACCAAGGTGGATCCTTAGGGATGCCCGTTGCCATGGATACGTGGATGCTGCCGCTTGTTGCGTGCCTGGTAGCTCCGTTCAAATCCCACCCACTCGATCGTTCTCCCGTGCCGTTCGCTCCCAACCTACTAAGTCTCATAAAACAAGAAAAAAAGGGAGAGCAGTAATAAAAGTAGAGGAAAAAAACGTCACGTTGCTCCGATTTTTTTCACTCTCTTGCTCTCTCTGTTGCGCCGCCAACACGCGACACCCTCTCGCTCCTCTTCCAACATCTTCTTGTTCTGCAGGCTCCTGGAATACACGGATTCATGGGTGTCGTATCACACTGAAGCACTCGTTACCCCTGGGAATGGGTGAAAAAGGCGCGCGAATAAAACGCACGGATGTCGCTCACTAGCGCCTCGTTAAAACTGACACGAATTGAAATAAAAGGAAAATTTTCATGTGTTCGCTTTGTTTCGGGATCTTGTGAAGTGTCTGCGCGGTGGAAAATGCTGGGGAAAAATTACTGAAAAGGTCGAGTAATCGCGGAGTGAATTCGTGGTTTTTTGAAATTCTGGGGCTTTTTGATTCTATATCGATGGAAAATGCGCGTGACGAGCGGTGAATTTTTTGCGCTTGCTCCAGAGGATTTACGAATTGTCAGGTAATTTCCTCAAAAAAGGTAGACTTTATCCGAAATTGCATAGAAATTGAAGCCAGCAAACGTAAATAATTAATCAATGTCTTGGAATTTTTCACGGTCACGGTGATCGTTTTTCCTTCTCGGATGTCGAATAGTAAATTTTGGCTTTTATGGATGTCATGCATTTCAGGAAACATTAAATTTTGTTTCTCCACGTGCGCGAAATTTTACTTTACGCACAAGTGATGAAAAATAAGATTTGGTACACGTGCGTAAGAAAAAGTGGAATTTTACGCACTAGTAACACAATATACTATTCGTTTACGAGTAATACAGAAGCAAAAACAAAAAACATTGATGTTTCGGCAACGGGAAGAGTGTCGCAGAGAGCGAGTTCCCAGCAGAAATTGGTTCCATGATTTCTTATTGATGAACATTGTGAATGTATCCCTCTCTCCCTTCTATCGTCATTTTATCATTTATTCCTGCATTGTTTCCGCTTCAAATAATCATTTCCCATACTTTATGTATTTTATTAGGTACAGAATCCATCGTTGGCTCATTTAGGTGATTTATCTGTTTTTTATCTCTCGACGAACCTCCAATTCCCCTCAACATTCTATCTATTAGTGAGACTTACCCTCCAAAGAGGGGTAGTTTTTCTTCTCCCAGGAGTCATTTTATTTACTCGACGAAGCGGGAAAATTTTCTTCACGCAAAGTATTTTTTTATTACATTATATTCCGCTTCACGCAGCTGTTACCTAAAAATTAACAAAATTATCAACTGAAGAGGGAGGTTGGGGGGGGAGGTCATTATTTTAAGCTCAATGATAGATGAATTATTAAGATAATCGGGGATGAGGTGATTTATTTTATGCTCTGACAGAGGTTTCTCTTCTGTATTTTATTGGTTGGATACAGGGGAAACGTGGAGGATTTTTTTTAAGAGTTTAAAATTGAATTTCAAGCGTAAGTTCGAGAAACCCTTCATTTCCTAAACTCTGCGTTTCCATTTCCGCGCGAGAGCAATCGGAAGGAGCTCTGATGGTTTGTAACTCGAAGGAATTACAGAAATATAATACAGTGTCGGAGATTTATTGAAAATTAAGGGATAATTTGAAAGGAATTCTTTCATATTGGGACTATGGATTGGATTTAGATTCAATTGTATTTTTTTCTGATTCATGTAGAAAATTTATGAAGGGTTACTTTTTCTGTTTTATGATTGCGAGAATTTCGGGGACTAATGGAATTTTTCGGCGTTAATTAAATTTTTCGAAGATTGATAATTTTGTATTTAAAAAACGGCTTTGAATTTGAGACCGATGGACGCGGCTGTATTTTTCTGGAACACAATCATTTTTCTGTGTTGTTGGAGGGTGGGATTGGCACGCGGTGGACCCGGGTTCGCTTCCTGGCTGTGTCGCCAAATTTTCTGACACTCTCAATCTCACAGTTTCATCGTCGAGCGGGAGTCTCGTAAATAAAAGGAGACAACTGTACCTGGACAAATGGAGAAAAAAAATCCAGAAAAATTACTGTGCCAACACGGTAAAATGGGTTCATTTGGACGGACCCACGGTAATTTTGCTGTGAAATACAAGAATTTTTCACGGTAAATCCGGGAAAAATTTCTGTAGCGCACAACAGAAATTCCGGTGGTGGCACGCGCATTTTTCCGGGTCCGTCCAAATGAAGCATTTACTTACAAAAAAACAATGATAAGAAATTTAATGTTCATTAAAATCTTGAAAAAGTTTTCTGAGGATATATTGCCATCAAACACGTCAAGAATTCCTATACTCAATTCAGGAGTAAAATTCCCATCAATCTCCCCAACTTATTGAAACCACTCTCCCTCCACCGTCAGATCCTCACTAACTTCCCTCCTCAGTCTGACTAATAAACCCAGAGACAATGTTCTCAGTGAAAGAGGTGGAACACCCTGGGCTATCTCTCACTACTATATCACCAATGACATCTCCACCTCCGTATTTGCGCGCTACTACTATGGCCACCGTTCGGTTTTGGCTCCGTTCGCGTCTCCTTTGGTCGCCCCACGCCACAAGTGTTCGTGGCGTGCTCGCGCGAAGAGGTGCCGCTCCGATATTCCATCCGTCTCGCAAACACGCACCCACCGCGAGCCTTCTCCAGCTGTCATTACTCAATTCCCAACAATTAAAATCCGAATTTAAAAAAATTGCAAAAGTAAGACAATCGTATTTTCCAAATAAAATTGATTCTTTGGAAAAAAAAAATCAAACAAAATAAACCAATGCAAAAACAGAATGATTTGTTGCTAATTGAGAGATCATTTTGGGAAATTCCGAGGTGTTAATGTGGTGACTTTAGTGTTTCTCCCGTTTATCGAACGGCCAGTAGACGATCCCTCTATCTCCCCGAGTCAAGTAGGCGTGATGGGGTGCATTTTCCTTCATCATCTCCTTTTGTGATAGTTGATATCATCGTAAGCCCCGAAATGAGGGGCTTGACAGCCGTCAGGCGCGAGTGGATGAGAATCCTCCCACTATTTCTCATCTCTCCTTACACCGATAAAGGAATATTGTTCGTTCTACTTCCTGTTTTGAGTTACTGTTAAAAACGAGATATATATATTTTTTTCACGTCCTCGGTGATAAGCCACGGATGCTGAAAAACATGGGGGGGTCAGGATGAATGTGCTTGGGGAACTAGTTGTGAGACGATAGGGTGGGCTCTATACCGATGTGCAGTGACACGCGAGAGGCCTCCACAGGAAGAGTTAAATGAAGTGGAATTGAGGAGATAAAGTCAGTTGATCATTGGTGAACCGGTGAAACTGTGAATTTTTAAATGCCGATACTTGTTATTATTATGGGGATTATTTATCTTCGGAGGAATGGATAGTTTACTGATTTCGAGGGAAATATATGAGGATATGGGGAGTTCCACGCCGAATCTGAAGCCCGAAACATTCGATGTCGGGGATTGTTTTGCTGATTTTTTTCTGCACAGTTGGGCATCAGACGAACATTTTGAATAAACATTTCGATACATCGAAATCGATCGATTATTCTCATTGTGTCGTGAATTAAAAATTTCCAATTCAAGAATATTTTGATACAATCTCGATTGAAAAACTCTCAAAGTAGAAGTGGAAGGGATTCTTTTTCCTGTGTTAAATTCATTTTTTTACTTTTTAATGGCTTAATCCAATTAATTATCGGAGAATTGCACTTTCTGATTACTCTCAAAGTCCTTTCGTTCTATTCTTGACCGGAAAATTTAAAAGAGTGACATATTTATTACTCATATTTCTTTCGAGAGTGAAGATTGAATTCTGCGGGAATTAGTTCATTCCGATACCTCGGAATCGATCGATTATTCCCATTGTGATTATTTTGAAACGGTGTTGATTGAAAAATTTTCAAATTAGAAGTAAAATGGATTCTTTTTCCTGTGTTAAATTCATTTTTTTCCTGTTTAATGGCTTAATCCAATTAATTATCGGAGAATTGCACTTTCTGATTACTCTCAAAGTCCTTTCGTTCTATTCTTGACCGGAAAATTTAAAAGAGTGACATATTTATTACTCATATTTCTTTCGAGAGTGAAGATTGAATTCTGCGGGAATTAGTTCATTCCGATACCTCGAAATCGATCGATTATTCTCAACGTGTCGTGAATTCAGAATTTGTAATTCAAGAATATTTTAAAACAGTCTTAATTGAAAAATTTTGAAATTCGGAATGGAATGGATTCTTTTCTTGTGTTAAATTCATTGTTTTTTCTTTTTAATAGCTGAATCCAATCATTTATTGGAGAATTGCACTTTCTGATTACCCAGAATTGGATTCCACTCCACGATTACACGACTTGTTTGGTAATTTTTCTCCAAGTTTTTTTTCCGTGTATTACCACACGGAGAGAAATATTTAATAAAAATTATCCTACCGTTCTATAAAACTGGATCATGAGTCATCGTTTCCTCATTTCTATCCCGAAATTTAGTAAAAATTACTATATGATGATCAAATTTTATTCTACGTTAGAGAAATTTTATCCTGACGCACAATAAATTTTACCCTACCGGTACAGTAATTTTTATTTTTATCAGGATAAAATTTCTCTAACGTAGAATAAAATTTGATCATTATATATTAGTTTTTACTAAATTTCGGGATGGAAATGAGGAAACGATGACTCATGATACACTTTTATAGAACGGTAGGCTAATTTTTATCAAAAATTTCTCTCCGTGCACTGAATATTTCATATAAGAACGGGAAAAATTTACGTGCTACTCGATAAAATTTCAAGTGCCACCACTGGAATTTCCCTGGCCGTCACTTTGCTCCCTTTTTCTCGTGCTGCCACTAAAATTCTTTTACAGAATTCTCACTATGTACTGATATACATCCCGAGCGAGCAGATGAAATTCTCCAGAAATTAGTACATTTCGATATCTCGAAATCGATCGATTATTCCCATTGAAATGAGTGAATGCTCGAGTGAAAGGCGCATTTAGTGCCACGCCGTGAAAGCACTTGACATCCACCCCCTCTGCCCTGTAAAAAGTGGAAAAAGGGGGGAGGGGGAAGGTACCCTCAGCAATTTTCCAACCGCTGTTACCCTCTGGCCACTCGATTGTCGATCGTGAATCGAGGTCACTCTCTATCGCTTTTCTCGCTTTTTACGCAGATGGAAAATGAAAAACTCCATTTACAGAGCGATCAATGGCGCCCTAGTGCCTAGAACTTCGCTACAATAAATGAGACTTTTTGAGATCAACAATGACCCACTGATAACACGTAAATCGGGAGATGTATCGAGAGTTTCAATGGAGATCGGGAGGGAAATAGTTGTGGGGTTGGGGTGACCCGTTCAGTACATGAAAGGATTGAAGAATATTGCCTATTTGCTTGTGTAGCAAATTTCTCTGATTTTTTTTCTGTTGACTGGATGTGTTCATTTTACCACACGGAAAATATTTTTACTCACACGGAAAAATTTGTGCCCAAATTCTCATAGAAAAAATCTCAAGAGAAAAATTCAAACAGAAATTCGAAAGCTATTGATTTTTTCTTATCGGATATTCAATAGAATCAGCGCAACAAACAAAGAGAATTTTTCAATAGAATTTCAATAGAAAGTCTACAGAAACCCCATAGAATTCCTACAAATAGAATTTTCTGGCGAATTCGCTAGGTTTTCTATTCAATTTTTTCACGCGTGTACTTTTTCAAGTAGTACGAATAAATTTCAGTCGAGTCGTTGAGTGTAACGAGGAAAAAAAAATCAGAAAGCCAAAAATAAAAATGATTTTTCATTGGTAATTTTTATAGATTTCTTCTAGATTTTTTACAGATTTCAATCTTTTTCTGCCCGCGAAAATATCATTTTTTCATAAGACTGTGTGTTATTTTTGCACTTCTAGATGAATTATTATCAGTAATTCTAGACTGCCGATTGAGCAGAAACTCCACCAGAATGTTTCCATTCATCTTAACTTTCGTTCAGAATTTATTTCAGATTTTCATCTTCAAAATTGAAGTTATGTTTGCACTACTTTAATGTCAACATTTTCTGTCATAACCTCCGCCAACCCAATCTGTCTCGATCAGGTCACCCCAGTCGTTCTAATAAATCTACGATGAAATCCCAGATCGAAGTAATGTCAACGAAGAGGTCAGAATACAATAAAATACGGATGTTGATTCAGTGGGACAATGAGAGTGGAGGGAAACTAGAACGGACCCCAAAAAACGCTCGAGAAGTGGAAGAAAAAACTAGGTCTATAGCTGTGTGCGTTGATGTGTTAAAAGCTCTTCCACTTTAACAGGAAGGATACAGGAACAAAGAGATACTTAAAAGTTCCCATTGTGGGTAGGAAAGCCTCGGAAATTCGAAGAAAATTATCCCTCAGAAAGAAAATACTGCAACAAATCGTTCACTTCCATTTCACCCCAAAGATTAGGAGAATTTTCTGCTGAATGTCAATGATTATTCTTCAACATTTATACGTTCATTCCAAAAATTAATTATTCGTCAATTATTAAATTTTCCACTTGTTTAAATTCAATAACTGATGCAGAACCTTAATAACTGATGCAGAACTTTAAGGATGTTTATCCAGAATTTTCACAGAATAATTGAGCTGAAAAATAAAGTATTTTATTGATTTTCAGGTCATTCGAGGAGAAAATCAATGGAATATTTAATTTTTGAAGGACAAGATTTCCTGAAATTTCAGGGGAAATTGAATACAATAAAAATTTCCGGTATTTGGCACGGAAAATTCAGAGGAAAATTTTTAACAGTGAACAATTATTAGGGATTCGCAATTGTGAAATTCAGTGAGTTCAAAATTGTTAAATTCAGTGAATTTGTCAGTAATTTTCAGTGCCATCATCACTAATTTTCAGAGCAATATCTCCGACTTTTCAGGGCTCCATTGAGAGAAAAACGAACAGATTCTCAAACAAGTCTTGTTTGGAACAACAAAATCGTTAGTTGAAAATTACAAAAAAAATAATTATTTGGTTCGAATTTGAAAGTTTTAAACATAAATAATTGCTCTGCTTTCTCATTTCTTCGATGTTCATAACAATAATAACTAAAAACATATATATTTTTCCGTATATTTTTTTCTATTTTTGTGCTCTTCAATTAGATAAATTATCAGTCTGAAAATAAATGCCACGTAAAACCAAAAAATTCTCCATTTCATTTTGTCAAAGCTACTGCGGTTATTCGCCGAGACTGGGGTCCATATATTCCCCAATCGGCTTACAAAAATGGCCACTTTCTTTTCAACCATAAAACCGTTAACTTTTCAAAAAATGGATAAACTCCCCCCGCAATTGCTGCTTGACATTCAGCGAAAATGTTCATCATTTAATAAATAATTGCATCAACATTTTAAAGGTTGGAAGGGCCAGTAGGAGAAAAAAATCACCGACAGACTGATCACGTACCCAGTGTTTATAAATAAATTGACATTAATCTGGTGGCATCAGTGGACGAAGAGGATAATTAATTTTTTTTCGTAACAATGGCGATTAGTACAGTGGATGGACGAGTAAATGTGTAAAGCAATAGTCCCCGTTATCCATGTATCTGTGACATTATGATAGGACCGGTGCTGGGAGACAGGAAGGGATCGTCGTAGGGGGAGATATTAGTAACAGTGCGTGTATATTCTACCACATCAAGCTTTAATCGTAAAGCACCCAAGGTGGCACAGATTGAGAGAGACCCCATCAGCAACACATCCTCTTTTGTCGGCTACATCAGGATTCTGTGATTTTTCGTCGTCACGAATTATCGTTTTCCATCATTCATTGAAGATCAATGTGTGGGCAATGGGTGCTGTGTGTTTACCTGACCAGTGAATTTGTGGAAACAGTGAGAGTCAGCGCACGGGGGGAAGGAAGAATTTGACATTATTTTTTTTTCAACTCATCGATACGAGAGCAGTTTACGGGACCCCTGTTGCAGAAGGGACAGCTCTTCATACTCTTCGCCGCTCGCCCACTTCCGACACACCGGAAGTAGATACATGTGAACGGTTCCAGCGGAATTGCATACGATACATTTCGATCATTGGGAGGAATTAATTTGAATCAAATATGGAAGTTGCGTCAGAATTGTAAGTACTGGAAATAGTTGGTGCATTGTTAGCGAGTAGTTTATCAGCTTTACATTGAGAAACAAGAGTTTTTCGACCCAGCGAGTGCAAAGTCACCCCGTTTGTTTTGGTCTAATAATTTTGTTCGTCCAATTCCGGGGAAAAATGAAAAAACATGTAATACGTGCACAAAATTTAATCTATATATCAACTCAGGCTTGACTGTTGTGGAACGATCAATGGAAATACAAGACATTAACAATTAACATGAAAAAAACTCGACGTCTGTGAACACACAATTAAATTTAAACATGAATTCACTGAAAGTAGAATATATTAATTATTGACATAAAAACTGCTCGCATGAGAAAATTACGAATCAACAATTGAGGAAATTCATGTAAATAATTTATGAAAATTGTGATGGTATTCTTCAGATTTCAAGAATTCCAATGCTATCATTTGTCTTACTGTGACACTTAATTTCTCATCTGTTCCGTAGTTTCGACTTAAACCAAGTGTGTTTACTTTACGATTGACGGGCTGAGAGAATATTAATGTACATTGATTGTTAGAATGTAGTAGTTTCTGTTTCTGTTTTTTATTATTGGACGTTTATTGTGGTGAACCAAGTGGTTTTTGGACGATTTGGGTCATTGGACTGAGTGATTTTGGACGAAAATCCATTGGAAGAAAAGGTATTGGACGAATGGTTTTTGGACCAAAAGTAACAAACCCATTTTTCTCTGTGCATTCGCGTAGTAAAATTTGTCACGATTTTCGAGATAATTTTTATCAAACTGTTCTCTCCGTGTATATAGCTACGCCCGAGCTGCGTTGACTTCTTTCTTCGTGTGCCAATAGAAAAATCCCTGCAGAAATCACGGCACTGTATCTTTATAATCACAGCATACCACCCATTATATACAACATTCAAGCAATTTCGTGCAATTGCCAGTAGTACTCAAGAGTCTCAAGAGCTTTGTCAGCGCCTCATCATCCTAATCCACAGTATTCATCATCAGCATCGCTTGACAGCGAGCACAATAAAGCCGCATGTATAATGACATCTCCACAAGTCGGGCGTCGATATGATGCACAACGTGATGCACGAGGAGAGATTGCACGGATGATATATGCGACGGATTGTTCATTTGAAATTGTCCCACTGCTTCGGTCGATCTAAAAATAAATAAACTCTCTGTTTCATCTTGAATGTCCTCAAGTTGCGCTGTCATTGCTAGCTGAAATATTTTCGCGCTTTATTTTCGCATTTTATTTCCGCGGTTCTCCGCTGAGGAAAATTGAGGAAAAGTAGACGGGCAGTCAGCATATTAAAAAAACGATAAATCGCTGCTTATCCTCAATGCCGAGATGTTCAGAAGGAAATAAAGCCCGAGAAGAGTAGACATGACGTTTTGCCACTTCATTATTGAATTGATTAAGCGATTAACAATTCCAGAGCATTAAGATCCATGAAGTGATAAATCATCAGAAGATAATAATAGGCGCGTCCAGGCCAACCAGGAAGGAGTCAATCAATCAAATGTGGTTACCCAGGAATAATAAGTACTGATTACTGTGACATGCGTTAAATACACAAAGGCGAGACTACGTGAATCGAAAACTTCCGTGTTCTTTTCTGAATTTGCATGCACCTTGAATGAGGGATTGAGTATCAATGGATGTATCGCAGTCGCATAAGTTGCGAGTTGATGAGACTCGTAGCACCTCGCGAGGTAGAATTCAGTAATTAAGTAAGACGCCTACTTCAAAGACGCACATTCACCGCCATACTTTGACTGCTAAACTCGGTTATGGAAGTAATTGGAGCAATTAATGACGGAATTTATCTCACACGTATTATTAAAATCTTGAGTTTATATTGATCTTTCAATGCGAATGCAGTTCATCTTCTATTGTCTGGGGGAATTCTTCATTTCAAATTGAGAATATTGTTTGTTATTTTGGAATTGAAATAAATTTTTTCGTTTTTTCGTCTGAGGACGTGACGAAATTCAAATTAATTTTCAAATTGAGTAATCATACAATTCCTTGGAAGGTCGATAATTGCAGAAAAAGTCAGAATATTTTTGTAAAATTTTTACTCACATTTTTTGAGTTTTCACAAGATTAGGAGGGCGCGAGAAGTAATGGAATATGGGTGCAAGTGAATAAATGATTGTGGCAAAACAATGAGATACTTTATTAAGGGGAGACTACTATGAGTTTGTGCAAAAAAAATTATTTATAATTTCTCGCCTACGGCTCGGAGGTCAACGCCACACGAGTAAAAAACCCCATCGCAACAGGCCGGAAAAATACTAATTTCAGGCCGAGTGCCATGGTGTCTTTTACTCGCGGGAAGTTGGCGTCCGAGCCGAAGGCGAGGACTGGACTTACCTGAGGGGTAAGGGACAAAATAGCGTTGATGAAGCCCATGCACAAGCAGAAATTTGAATGATTAATTTAAAACAAATGAAACGATAAAACTACTCAGTTTCTTTTACAATTTTCCTTTTACCATCCTTGATTATTATATTACATAGTCAGTTCGCTAGTACATCAACAAAAGAAAAAAAACTCTTGTTCCCTATTCCCTCACCCATTACCAGTGACAAGGTTTGAATTACGCAACTTCCTCGATCTTACTCGCTTATACCCGGCATCAATGCCATAATAAACGTCTCAGCGACTCCCCTTCAAGACTGATGGGCATGAAGACATTGAGAATTCCATCCGAAATCGTGTCATTGAAAAGGGAGTCATCAATTCTCCATTCAAGGCTGTGACCTGTGACAATTATTCCATTTACTACGTCGTGGGATGTTATCATGATAATACCACATGGAACATATGGATCGAACATGAGAACTTCTATGCTTCTCAATGAAAGCGCCCGATAAAATTTTTTATTTTATCGTAGCCTTGAAGATCCCACGTGGAGGTGGGCCATGTGGGTGGGCGTATCTAAGGTCATGACGCGTGTCCGAGTGTCTTTGTCGTACTGCCTTTCACGACAGAATAACCTCGTTTGCCATTCCCCTAGGAACCCCATGGACTGAATGAATAATAATAATTTCCATTCAAATGGGAAATGAAGGCAAGTCGTGAAAACGTTTTAACACAATGTCGCGATTTCAAAATGCGGAACGAGATGCTGTTTAATGGCTTATTTATGTATTACCCGAGTGGAAATTCTGTTCAGGTCTTGATCAGAAACTGATCAAGTCCGATCCGAAATTCTGATCAGGCGTGTTACGCCTCTGCCTTAGGTTTTTCCACTAGGGTTTCTCCGCCTTCCATCATTAGGCATTAATTAAATTTAATTTTTTGAGAGAAAAAATTAGTAACTTCCTAGCCGGGAATCGAACCCGGGACCTCCCAATGTCGCGTCGGGTGCTCTTACTTTTTTTTTTTTCTTGGTTTTTATTCATTAACAAACATTATTTACATATTTACATAACTTAAAAACTAGAATTGAAAAACTTATATGTAAAAAATTTTCATACGATTTCGTAAACTTATGGTCCATTAGTGACTCTCAGGTTTAATTTTGTATTTGTAAATTTGATTTCATAATAACATAATATTTTTTGGAATGCAATTAACAATGCTAATGATAAATGAATGTGTACACATTCTAATGTGCCTAAAAAAAGGAAAGATTTTTAGATTTTGCTGTAATTGAAAAAAAAAGGCACGACAGGGTATCCGCAGTAGAAGGGATGATTAATGTAATTTTTTTTTCAAAAATTACCTATTGTGAAACTTTTAATAGAAGAAACACTTACAAATATGTAAATTGTTGGTATAAAGCAACTGTATTTGGGTGCTCTTACCATCTGAGCTACCAGGACACTTACGAATTTCACTCTCAAATTGACTCATACCCGAGTGGAAATTCTGTTCAGGTCTTGATCAGAAACTGATCAAGTCCGATCCGAAATTCTGATCAGGCGTGTTACGCCTCTGCTTTAGGTTTTTCCACTAGGGTATGTATTATGAGAAATTCTCGTCAATTCAAGTCGCGCATGCAGCACGAGGCTGAGGGATGTATGAGTAAATGAACGAGCGTGTGATTCCAACCAAAAATTTTCAACTGTATGTGAGAATCGCCCAATAAGTTAACATTGATTCGGATGCAGTAGATCCCAGGGCATTCCTAAATGTGCCACACAGTCGATCCAAAGCGCCCATTTAGCTAAGCACCTACACATGTAATTCAGTACTCATCACTCCGTCACATCCTGTTTGTAAACGCGTGTTAGTGGGCTCACAAACGCTGCATGAGTACACCATAGAGATCATCTCATATCGCCCACGGGTTTTCATCAATTATTCCAATGATTGGATTCCATGCGGAAAGGACCACAACATTTTTTCCAAAACACTGGACGCACGAAAATCGAAGCTCCGAGAGATCATTCAGCAATAATTGTTCATGCGAACTATATTTAATTGGCGGTTGGATGAATTTCCGCGAATAGATTGCACATAAATCAATAGTTCAACTGAGGAATAATTACGGATTGAAGTGTATCGGTGATGCCCATGCATTTCGAATTGATTAATATCTAATGCGATTCATCGGAATTGAAGAGGTCAAATGTCAGAGGTTGAATTTAACAGTATTTAATAGTTTCATATTTAAAGTCGCTCTACCCTTACGGTAAATTCAAAGATTATTGAAAGTGCAAAAAAATTGCAGAAAACTCTATCAGATTCGGAATTCTAATTTTTTTCTCAATTATCGTTTTGGTTTTTCAGAGAAGAAATGTTTAAAAATCAGGATTTAACCCAGTGTCTTATGCGAGAATCAACAGTTCCATTGTAATCGAAGATTAAAATCTGAATTTTTTTTCATTAGATGTGAAAAAAATTCTCCACTTAGTATAATATATTCAATTCATAAACAATTTGAGATTTTAAAAATATACCTATTTCACAATCTGTGTAGGTTTTTATTTCCAATCTCTCGTGTCATTGAATATTTATCAGTTTTCAAGGTAATTCAAATGTCATCGACAGTTTCACCATCTTTTCCATCAAGAATTCTTCCACTTAATTTGCATGAGACAAATTTGGAAACATGCGTACATAATGAGCATTCAAGCTACATTTCATAATGTGTAATTGTGAGGAGGTTGGGTTTTGGCGATCATTAGACAATGGCGCCCGAAAACCATTGGACATTTGGCTTGATATTTGATGAATCTAATACCGAACTATTGCACGAGGCCAATTTGTTGATGACCAAAAAGTGATCTTCATCACTTGTGCGTAAAGTGCGATTTTTCGTTATCTCGGCGCACGCTTCGCATGTTCGGCGCAAATGAATCCTTTTTTGACTATTTTTAACAAACAATTTTTTTGGCACGAGTAAGATTTATGTGACAACTCTACTGTTTTCCCGTCAATGTATCAAATCGCCTCTGGGGGCGAGAACACTCCAAGAACATGAAAATCCCTTCAAAATGAGACGTCACATAGCATTATCTTCTGATTGACGGGGTTTATACAAGAAACCTGTTTTTTTCAATCATTAATTACTAAACAAAACGCATTTTTAAAATATCTGAAATTTCCACCAAAAATTGTCAATAAAATGAAAGGAATTTTTGCGCCAATGGGAGTTCGTCTTTCGCCGTAGTTCGGCGGTCATCACTTTTTTCATTGGGACAAGAATAGAAAATGACTGAAAATCGCTAATATTCATGCAATTCAGTAGCGAAGCGGTAAACCGGGTTAAGTCAATTTTGACTTTTGGTGATTTTTTGATGAATACCTCAGGAACTAAGAGAGATAACAAAATTTTTCTCATGACCTTTTTTATAACCCTCAATTGGCTCTACAAAAAAGGTCGTGACAAAAAATCATCTATCTCTTTTAGATTCCGAGATATTCGTCAAAAACTGGCTAATAGTCAAAATCGACTTAACTCGGTTCACCGTTTCGCTACTGAATTATTCCCCAAATGAGTGAATATGCAATTGAATAATTAAAAATGAGTCAATCCAATTAAATTCTCGTTTACCAACAGATGTAAGCCCTTTCAAAACTGTATTTCCATTGTATAATTAGAGAAATAATAATTGTCTACTCAAAAATCATACTGTAGATGAATAATAGAAGATATAATGAGTCTCACCTCCACCATTTGCTAATATTTAATTGAATATTCACTATTTACTCTCATACGGGTCTGAAAATTGGGATTTCGTTAAATATCCCCGGAATGATCTCCGGAAAATACTAAAGCAATCCCTCCAAAAACACTTATCACTCGTACACGTTCGTGGCAGGTTAATGACACAAAGCCCTGATATAACGAATGAACTATCAAGTGCAATCAAATGACGCAATCGATCCGGAATAGCTCGAAATGGAGAGGAAATTCCAGCGCAACAGTTCAATTTGGCTTTGACGCTAATTGGATAAAGCCTAGCCCAAAATACCTGTAGAATATATCTGTGAAGGGTCAATACCTACTGCAGAGAATTGGTAATACTAGATCAGTTAACGCAGTAGCGAAGTGATAAATGGTTCAAGTCATTTTAACTACTGGTCAGTTTTCAACGCAGATCTCCAAATCGAAGGCAGATAGAATAATTTTTCTTATAACCTTTTTGCTTCCGAATGGAAGCATTGTAATCATTCTGTTTTCACATTCTCTAATTTTGATTGGAAATGATGTAGAATGTCGGTGTCAATGTCCATCGCCACCTTTCCGGTGGTCAATTTTTGGAAAATTGAGTAATTAATTGGCTAAACTTATTCCAAAAAATCTGAAATTTTGCCAGATTATAGACCCTGACAAGGACTAACTCTGCAAAAGTTCACCCGATTGATCAAATCGTTTTTTAGAAAAAGCTACTCGTTTTTAAATCGTTTTTCGCTAATGTCTTCGAAGCTAGTCAACCGATTTCAATTTTTTTTTCAAAATATTCGTTTCGATGCCTTCTATCCGAATCAACCAAAACATATATACTCGCTCATACAAAGCGAATTGTGAGTTCCGCAATTTTTAATGAAAATTTTAATTTTAATTGGTGTCAAAGGAGAGTGCTTTTAAAAGTCTATTCATGGAAAAATTCATGAAATTCGATTGATGCTGTGCACAAAAAAAATTGATCTTGAAACTTATGACCTCGAATTGAGGCTTTTGAAAATTTCATTTTAAGACCTTTGTGATCCTGAATTTTTATTATGTGTTTTCGTTTGAAATCTTAAAATTTTATTATGTGCAAGAAAATATTGAGCAGAAAATAAAAAAGACCACATACATACATGCACACGTACATACTGAAGAGATGAGTTTTGCGATATTGAATGCTTTTTTCTCCAAGAGTAGGATTTTTCCTAGGACAATGTCAATTTTCTCCTGGGACAATTTTATGTAAATTATGCACAAGTCCAGTGAACAGGACATAAAACGATAATTTCGTATTTTCACAGATCACCACTTTCGGGAAGTGACTCAGCGAAGCCCGTTGAGAGGAGCTCGTACTACCCCCAAGAGCCCAGCAAAAGGCCACAAACTAGACGACAGCGAATCACATCATGCCTGTCCCACAATGCCCTGACGATGCTGACCATCTTTGGTGTCATCGGAGGAATTGTCCTTGGAATCTGTCTGAAAGGGGTTGGTAAATGGTCTCCCCGGGAAATCATGTATGTCAACTACGCGGGTGAACTATTCCTCAGGATGCTCAAGAGTTTGATTCTACCCCTCATTATCTCGAGTCTCGTCTCAGCGATTGGATCACTCGATCTGTCGTTGAGTGGGAAGATCGGGGCCCGTGCCATTACGTATTACATGGTTACAACTGTCAGTGCAGTCATTCTGGGTTTGTTCTATTTTTAAAATTACTTCACTTTGTAGTAGATGTTGGAAGATATTCACAGATTTCCTCCCACAGGCATCATTCTGGTCATGTCGATTCAACCTGGCACGCTATCCAAAGGAGAGGACATGAAGAGCAGTGAAATGGCCAAGAGTGTCAACACTGCTGACACCCTGATGGATTTAGTCAGAAATATGTTCCCTCCGAATTTGGTGCAGGCCTGTATCTCACAGTATAGAACTGTACTTACGAAAAGCGCCAATGATACGGGTGAGTACACATTGATGAGAATGCACAATCACTCAGCTCCAACTGCGGGTTCACTTCTTATTCATGTTCAGAGGACAATAACACGTGGGCCATCAGCGGCGAGGACACATCAGGTATGAATATCCTGGGCCTCGTTGTGTTTGCGACGGTCCTTGGAATTACTCTCGGGAAAATGGGACCCGATGGCAAACCTCTGCTCAATTTCTTCGAGGCATTGTCCTCCGCCATGATGATCATCACCAACTGGGTCATCTGGTGAGTCCCCAGAATTTTTTAATTCCCTGAAATTAGTCCGAAAATCCTGCGTTTCAAACATCATTGTCTTGAGATTATTTCGATATTTTTGTTCAGTTGATCTTCATAGACTGATTGAAAGAGATTTCTCAACTATTTCTTAACTATAATTTTCCAGTCATTAGAAATAATTGAATTTGAGTCGTATTGAGCACACACTACGCTTGGTAACAGAAGGGCTCCGTCTGCGAGGGGTTAAAAACAACCAGTTAGACCCTCCAATTCAATGAATGCAATCAATTTTGACTACCAGACTAGATGATGAGGGCATATATACATTTTGAAACAATCCCACAATCATTTGTATCTTGATAATGGATTAATATCTCGCCTAGAATTTGCTTTCGCAATAATCTACAATTTGTTGTTAAATTTCAGTAGCGAAGTGGTCAAACGGTTTAAGTCGACTTAGCTCTTAGCTGAGTTTTCGAGGAATATCTCAAAACCTAAGGAAGGTAGCGAAATTTTCACCGATATCTTTTTTGAAGCTCTCAATGTCCTCTACCGAAAAGGTTATAACAAAAATTTTGTTATCTCCCTTAGATTCCGAGATATTGATTGAAAACTGGTCAATAGTCAAAATTGATTCATCTCCTTTTACCACTTCGCTACTGATTTCTCTCCGTGAATCTGATTCAATGTCGTCCTGAAAATTACCACTGAAAGGCTCATGAAATGACTATTTTCTCTAACAATGTATATCTCCCATGAAAAAAGCTCTTAATTCCATTTCAGGCTGTCCCCCCTCGGTGTCCTCTTCTTGGTGACCTCAAAAGTCCTAGAGATGCAGACATTCGACGAAGTATTGAGTCAACTGGGAATGTATTTCCTCACCGTTATAATAGGTCTCTTTATCCACGGCTTCTTCGTACTGCCACTCATATTCTACATCTTCACGAGGAAAAATCCCTTCAGATACGTTTACAATATGGCCCAAGCAATTGCCACTGCATTCGGCACATCATCGAGCTCGGCAACACTCCCAATTGCCATTGGATGCCTCGAGGAGAGAAATGGAATCGATCCCAGAGTCGCACGTTTTGTCATGCCAATTGGTGCCACTATCAACATGGATGGTACAGCTCTTTACGAGGCTGTTGCAGCGATTTTCATCGCTCAGGTTCGCAAAGTACCTCTGTCATTTGGACAACTGGCGGCTGTGAGGTAACGAGGCTATTGTAATTACTCATCGTTGCAATGATTATCGTTTCATTTCTCAGCGTCTCAATTCGATTGGAATTTCAATGAATTTTAAATGAATTCCAGCATTACTGCGACTGCAGCTAGTATTGGCGCTGCTGGCATCCCTCAGGCTGGACTGGTGACGATGGTTATGGTCCTGGATACTGTCGGTCTTCCTGCTAATGATGTCACTCTTATTATTGCCATCGATTGGTTATTGTGAGTATCTCCTATCACTCTATGAAATTACGCAGACAATAGGGGTTTCATCCGGATGCAAAAAATTTTTAGTTTCCAAAACCAAGTGATTATGATCCTCGCCTTTGGCTCGGATTATAGAGCCACTTTTGGCAGATAATATTTTTATCGCCTAATGACATAATCTACTATTTCATTACACTGTCCGTAAAACGCCGTTTTACGAACACTTCCTGTCCGTCAAACGCCGTTTACGGACAGTGTGAAGAAATGTTATATTATGTCGTCAGGCGATAAAAGTCATATCTAACGAGTGTGACTTTATAATCCGACGTGACTTTTATCGACGTGCGCCATACAATATTTCTTGTCATTGGGCCCGATAACCGCGATCTAACCGAGTAAGGTGAGACTTCCGAGAACTGAGAACGATAAAATGAAAATGCTATTTTTTTTCAATTCATTACTTTATTCACCTGAAGAAAGTTATTTAACAACTTCAATTATTATATCAATATTTTTATAGATCTTCAGGAAATTTTCTTTGTAATCAAGTTTTCTTTTATAATATAAGTTTTTTAGTGTAACGAATTTTTCCCTTCACTGATCACTAAATAAGGGAACTTTAATCATTGCAAACCACTCGTTTTAGTTTTAACACTAACACTATCTCTCCTTTTACCCTTTTTATTCGCAATCGTACCGTCGTTTTCGTTATTTCAATTCATCATTTAATTTATCTCGATTTCAATTAACGTTATCTCAACAAAACTAAATACTTTTCTTATGACAGTCAGGCGTGCACTGAATTTTTTAATCCAAAATTCATATTTAGAATATTTTATTTTTCGGCTTCCTTGGAGTAAAGAGACAATGGCTCTTCGAAGAAAATACTAGATTGTTTACTGCGGGGATTCCGTGGTAGCAGAGTGCGGCGAAGCGCTCTAGCGACGAGAAGACGATATGAGGGGAAATGCGACTATAATGAGAGTCTGCTGTACCGTATACTGTCCACTGTATCGTAAAAGTGATTTGTAATAGTTTCCCTGTACATGTTGTGAAACATTTTAACGGAAAAAAGTTGTTCTTATTGGTGGAAAAAAACGTTTTTTTGTGGAAAAAAAAGTTGTCTATCCCAAAAATTAAACTAACGGACAATAAATAATGAGTTTTCCCACACTAATGATCGTTTTTCCATACATGGAGGGAAACGTAGGGAGATCCTCACTTCAGTAGCCCGGAGTATTCCAAACTCACCGGAATCTTTATTTAAAAAAAACACATCTTCTCCCCCATTTTTCACGATTAAGAAGCGAAAATTGGCGATCACAAAAAAAATATCTCAAGTTTATACGCCAGGGATTTTTTTCACCACGATTCAATTTGTCAGGGCCATTTTCTCACCAGGAATTATCTGTTCGGGATCTATTTTCCGGATTAAATGATCTGTAATCCCCTTTTTATTCCCTCAGGGATCGCTTCAGAACATCAGTGAACGTTGTCGGCGACTCTCTGGGCGCTGGTATCGTCAATTACCTGAGTAAAAATGAACTAGCAGCAATGCCCTACCACGTTCAATCGCAAAACGGTGCCGATCGTCATACAACGTCGATATGAACAGATCGACCCGCACACCAACGACAATAATTGTCTCTCCAGGCAACTGGCGGGCGTTAACGAGATTAAGAAGATAAACCAAACGAGAGAATATTAAAAAAAAAACAAAAAAATAAAACAAAACAAATGTATGTAATAGAGGTATTAATCCTCTACGGGTACACTGGGGTTACTCACCACCCCATCCTATTTTCTCTCGAGTGTTATTCCTAGGCCAGTACACCCCGTGGTATTTATCCAACACAGTAATTTTGTTGAGAGGTACAAGTGACCCAGCAGAATCCACAATTTGTGTTAAGTGTAGGTTGGCAAAGTTTTTCGTGTCAATTGTTCGTGTTTTCACGCTCACGCTGCTTCATCATTTACAAATCAACTTCGTTCATTCCTCAATCTCGAGTATGGAGTCTAGACGAAAATACCATTCGATTTTTTCTACTGAGTTCAATAGAAAAAAATTCAAAGTTTTTCAGACGTAAAATTTTTCCAGATTTTTGACAATTGTTCAAGTGTTTGAATAGTATATTATATTACTAGTGCGTAAAGATCCATTTTTTCGCACGCAAGCGCAACACATCCTATTTTTTGTGATACCTGCCGCGTTCACTGTTCGGAACTGTAGTGGAGGTAAAGTGGTTGTTCTTGTGAACGAGTGCGTAAAGTGAACTTTACGCACGCCGTGCGAAAAACAACCGGTTTACGTACGCTAAACCGTTTCGAAAAGGGCATTTTTCAGGCAGGTATCACAAAATAGTAGCGGAATCCGGGGCAACATGAAATGGTGGGGCAAAATAGAATGCGGGGCAAAATGAAATAATGTGGAAAACGCATCACTCACACGATTTGGGGGATTTTTTGCTCTATTTCACTTCGAGAGTAACAGAGTGAGCTTAGGTTACGCGGTTTTTTATTTCCATTTGGATGGAATTTTCTCCTTGGGATTTCTATCTGCGGAAGTACTGTTGATGATCATTTTTTCGATACTGAATATGTCCTCTCCATAAATTTTTTACACGAAAAACCTCCCTCACATGTGTTCTACTGTTATCCAGAATATAACAAACAACTCACAGCGGATATTTACATGAGCAGAGCGCATATGCGCTAGTGCAAAAGTGTTATAGTTTACATTTGTTAATTGATTCGTACGTTAATTTGTTCGTAGTATTTTCTGTTTAATGAACAATAAACGAAATGAGTTGAGAATATTTTTTTTTTTTATGCTTATTTTATATCGCTTCGAGTCTGATGAGACTATATGGCGATTGATCAAGACTTTAAAAATGGTTAGATCTCACCATTCTACCCGGCCAGGAATCGAACCTGGAACCTATCCGTTGTGAGGCAACGGCCTTAACCACTACGCCAGGTCACCGGAGTTGAGAATATTGAAAATTGTTTTTTGAATGAGTGGAAAAATTCGTGAGTCGAAAAATTCACAACTATTTCAATTTGCCCCTCCTCCCCCATTTAATTTTGCCCCACTCACCCCTACATTTCGATACGAGTGCGGAAAAATGATTTTTGGCCCATGGGAGGTGTGTAGTGCTCGCCTAAGGCGAGTGCTTTACGCACAAGTGATGAAATATACTATTTTTCATCAAAGTGTAGGAAAAATTTCACTTTATGCACAAGTGATGAAATAAATTTTTTGACACCGGTGCTACGTTCACCTCGTGCCGAAAATTGCCTTTTCATTTACGAGTAAACAAACAGAGCACAGTTCGGCCACTTGTTGAACATAACGTCACTGTCAAAAAATATTCTTCGACACATGTGAGACGGGAACTTTCAACTCGTGTGATTGGCAGCCCTCGGTTTCGCCTCAGGCCGCCGATTTCACACTACTGAAAATTCCGTCTCACTCGTATCGAAATATACTATTTCGTTGAATTGAGCCGCACGAATTTCAATCCAAAGTTATACATCTCGTCAGGAGAGGATATCATAAAATGTACCACTTCGCTGTTGGGTTTGTAATGCAAGGTGAAGGTAGCAATGGCATCCCCCCAGTGTAACTGTAGAAGAAGCGCCCAAGAGGTTAAACTTCATCCCCGTGACGCTCGAACAAATCACCGCCTAAGTGTTCTAGCAGCCTCTGTGTTTCATTGTCAATCGTTTATATTATTTTGCCAAACCGAAGAAAGTAAATTAATTATTGTTTATGCAATATGTTGCCTTCGTTAATCTCATGTAGTTTATTTGAGCAATGGGCCAATACCGGTTAATTAAAAACTCAAATTTGTGCCAAATATATTAATAAATAATGTTCATAACACGATGAAAGTATATCGTTATACAATTTGATCTTATTGCATCAAGGACATTAATATCGTTCGTTGTACATACAAACATTGAACACATAACAACGAAAAAAAAAATAACATGCACAAAGTTTAAGTGAAGAACAATGACACGTCAACAATAATTAGTGGCCCATTTTTTATTACTTTTAATAATTTTTCGATTATCAATTATACCAGTAGATGATAATTATGATGCAATTGATATACGTGTATACATATATAATTAATGAGTCATAGGTACTAATAAAAATAATATATGGATTATAGTAAACGATTATATCAATTTTATGGAATAAACGCTGGCGACCATATCGATTGAATCGACTTGAAGAAAAACAAATAATATTTATTATATATATACAAAAATATTATGTATACATAGATATATGTATATGGAAATTCAGTGATTGTTCAGATGAAAATTTAATGAAAATGAATTATGGAAAGATCATATTTCAATTACTTTGAGATTGATGTCAATACGGCTGCGAGGCTATACACAATTAAACGTTCAATTTATTGTTGTCGAGAACTCACTAAGTGGGTACATAAATACTCAGTATAAATTTTAATTAATTATGGGCACGTTAAGAGTTAAACAGCGAGCTCGATGTTCGTTGATTAAAAATTAAAATGGGAAATATGGAAAAATGTAATTGTGTATGAACATTGTATTCGAGGCTTGAAAAAATATGGAAAGTAAAATAAAAATGTTGTTTAAAGTGTTTCTTTCCTTTTTTTTGACTGGTGGGTATTCAGTGGAGAAAGAGGATTGATCCAGGAAAATTTTGAATTCGACATTTGGAGTGTTAATATTTTTGAGTTGAGAGTTATTCATTAGTGATTAAAAAACTTGGCACTTGCTGCGTAAAGAATTTAGAGGATTTAGATCGATCCGTTTCTCAATGTAAGAGTTATTGTTTTCGATTGGAGCTCGTCTTGGTTTATATGATATTTTTGAGTGATGTTGGATTCGGTTTAGGGAACAAAATAGTAATTCAGATTTTAGTGAAAATTCAATGAATATTGCAAATTTTTTGGCATCAGGAAGACGGGAATTCTCTTTTACTTTCGAATGGAAGCATTGTATTCGTCAAATCCAAAATTTCCAATTTTTTATGTCAGGATAACTACTTTTGACCTCAGGAGCTCGAATATGGTATTTTTAGACCAGGTCCGGATGTATGCATGTGCGTATGTGATCGATTTTTTTTCGACGGTAACTGGAAGAATAATTGAATTTAAAAAAAATCCAATTGTGAAAGAAATTATTTTTCGACCGGAATTTTCATATTCTGTATTATCCACGGGATATCTATTCGGTCAACCTTAATTTTAATAATTATTTAATTGTTTCCCTCATATAGAGGACCGGAAAGTAAATAGCATCTCGCTTTCCATATAATTTATACCTTGAAAACACCTGAGGTTGACCAACTAAATAGCTCGGAAATAATATTGAATCCAATTGTGATTTAAAATATTCCTCCCAGTGCCATTTTGACCGAGTGAGGGCGTAAGATTGATTAAATCTTGAAGATAACAAATTTTAACATTGGGGTAATGTTGACTTCCAACATTGAGACATGAATCCATGAATCATTGAATTCAATTTAAAATACATCGTCATAGAAATTCTATTCGGTGGCAAATTGCTAAATGAAAATGCTAAATCTAAATGAAATTTTTTAGAAATTTCCGAAATGAAACTGTTTGACTGCCTCAAATACTGCGCTCTGATTGGCTGAAATCCGAGTGAGAAAAATAATCATCAAAATTTACGCTATGTTTACACAACTTCAACATGAACTTAAGGAACTTCCGCAGTAAGTATACTTGGTGAAAATTTCGAAATGGTATAAAGACGCAATATTTGGATCATATGTTGTTGAGCACATTCAAAAACTATTCCCAAAAATTTCAAGTACCTTGTCCACCCCATTTTCGAGATATACTTCGTTAAAAATGGAAAAAACCCAAAAATTGAATATTTGGCGATGCATATCTCAAAAATGGGGTGGACCAGGGACTTGAAATTTTGGGAATATCTTTTTAATGTGGTCAACAACATATGATCCAAATATTACGTCTTCATACCATTTCGAAATTTTCACCAAGTATACTTACTGCGGAAGTACCTTAAATCAGAAATGATCAAATTAATGCCTCAAGATAGTTATATCCTTGAATAGAGAATTCGATGTTCTTCCGTGTATCTATAGAGTACAAAAGTGGGTTGATGACCAAGTGGTGAGATCGATATAAATAAAGTATTCGATTATTGACGATGCAATATTGTTCGCAGATGCGCAATTCACATTGGACCCTGTCTACTCTGATCGTTTCGTCAATGACCTACGATCGAAATAGGGTATCCTCGTGTTTTGTTACGTACTGCGGACACAATCGTATCGACATTTGTCATTCTACGGTGAATCGTGGGTGAGGGATATTGTCGAGAGAGTGAGAATTTTGACAGGTAATTAGTTCGCAGAGAAAATAGTATTTCCTTCATTTTCTAAACTCTACTTCAGAATACAGTGTGGGGAGGGGGAAAGGCGGAGCAAAATGGAGCGTTCTGTGATCTTTTCTAATTACCATTATTTGTTTATAAATGAAAATATTGTAATTTAGAGATCACGAAGGGTTTCACTTTGAGGGGAAGGGATTGTCCCGTCTTGCCTCTCTAGTATCGATTTATAATCATCGAAAGTTCTTCGACTGAAGACTATTTAAGGATATTCGAGTGCTTTAACGATTATTTTCTCCTTAAAATCCTTCTTAACACCCGTAATTGAACACCAGACTTACTATTTAAGCCCAATTTTAGATTAGTTTACCAGACATTTCGCAATGATTTTTCGATTTGAATATTCTGAACCTTCAATGGGATTTTCATTCTTAAGAGGGGACCTCCCTGAAACTTGAAAGTCTGTGGTGGCTCAATAAATCTATCGAATGGCTCGGAATCTTGTAGGATGCAACCTAGACGAAAAAAAATATACCTGAATTGAGTACAAAATATACTTGAATCAAGTATATATTATTTTAATAAATATACTAAATATATTTTAGTATATATTTACTATATTTAATGTATATGTATCTGTTATAATTTTATGTCAATGGAATCAGCCAAAAACTAATAGAAAATTTAATAGAACTTCAATAGAATTTTCTAACGAATTCGATAGGTTTTTCTATTAAATTTTTTCGTGGGTGTACAATTGCAGTTGTCCATGAGACATTAATTACCTGAAGTGTCCTAACGAATATTATATCATCGAAAAACTTCGTTAATTGAAGATAATGATAATAACGAGAAGCTGAAGCGATCACGTCGCCTCGATGAGAGCGGAGGAATGAAAATACACGCTAAAGATATCCTAACTGCAACAAGAGCGACAGTACCAAGGACGGTAGTGAGAACTAAAAGTTACAGAAATATAGTGGGTCAGTGGTTTCTGGGGCCCTGCGGTGCCAACGAGTACCACAACGAGAGCATTGTCGAGGAAGACGAGACAATCGATATGGTTGAAGCTGGACCGTCGCACGAACTCGACGGTAAGTCCTCAAAACTTTCCTTTTATCACCCGTTGAGTCTCTAATTGACTTTAGAATCTCCAGCAAGACTCGGTCGTTCAGAAAACCACGAAATAAATGGTGGAAATTGGCGTGCAGAGGAGGACGACGATTTCAGCGATAAAGAGGATGATGAGGAAGTTGAAGAGGCTGATTTGAGACCCGCTGCTCCAATTCCAGATAATCCTATTGTCTACAATTCAATTTTAGGTAAAAAAATCCACGCAGGGTGACCCAATTTCAGCTTCAGTTTTATTTATCCATCAGATTTTTCTATAAATTGACATTTTTTTTATTGAAATTTTTACATTGAAAATTTAGATCAATGGGAATAGGGGCGTATGGGGCGAAACGGGCTTCAGGGGATAAATTTATAAAAATAGGGGATGGATACCTAAATAACTTCCTCCCTTCGGCTCGAGAAGTTGATAAATCTCTAGAGACTAAACCTTTTTCTCTCTGTATTCTCCAGACCCGCCAGAAATCAAGGTAACAGTCGACGAGAGCCTTCACCAAATGGCGCAAGAATACCGCGAAAACTTCGATGGTTTCGCCCAAATAAATCGTTTCGAATCAATCGAGGAGATGCACGACTTCATAAAAAATACTCTAAACTCTTCACCACCCCCTTCAGCCACTCCTTCCAACAAGCAAGAGCGTTACCTCGACCTTTTGCTCAACGAAAGACCTGAAGATCGCTTTCGTCGTCTATACGAGACAGCTCGGGTGACAGTTCGCCGAGTTTTGGCTCAAAACGAGGATATCCTGAGCGATCTCTTTGTCTCCGCGAGTCTGGAGAACTTCCCGAGTCCTCTAGCCCCCATCGACGAGCACGAGGCGCCCATCGACGAAAATGTGGATGAAGACACTTCATTCGAGAACCCGAGGGACTTGGAAGTCGAGGAGAATATGAAGAGGTGGTACATGATCGAGATGATTGGCTTGTGGCTGAGGATGATAACAGATGTCAAGAGTTATCGTGAAGCTATCAAGAAGAAAGTATTGATGAAGAGCTGGGGAATTGAGAATGATCGATACGAAGGCATTGCTGTGCCCTTGAGGTACAAATAAATCAGGCAGTGATCCAAGAGGATGCCGTGTCGTTTCAATCGTAATCTTCACACGGACCCGATTCAATTCAACTAGAAAATAATTGGGGTTTTGCATATACAGTGGACTTCCCCTAGCTCATAGCGTTCGGGGGTCTGATTCCAAGAACTCGAGCTAGGGAATTACCACCTCCACATGCGCAGGGACGTCCTTACGCGAGAGAGACAACGTCATTATCTGAGAGAGAACGCTGTAACATACTGGCCGACGACACAACGCTTCTCCTCTCGTGCATCACGTCACTACTGCGGTGGGGGACACATTCCCCGCCGCTAGGACACGCCCCCCCGAGCTACGGATAGTAAGAGCTAAGGGAAGTCCACTGTATTTTCTTTCACTGTTCGATACTACACGGAGAAAAATTCAATAAAAATTACTAGAAAAAAACGTAAAGATTACGTTTCGAAACGTAATCCTTGGGCTAAGTCAAATTCAATAAAAAGTGTGTCGGAACTGAAATTGTACGAATTGCCACGTAAATTCTACGATTCGGTGTGAATGAACATTTGGTGAAAAATCTGAGAGATGTATTTTTTTTTATAAATAATGAACAATGGAAAAATATGCATGTGATGGTAAAATTCAAAATCGTCGAATTTTGACGTCACATTTTCATTAGTTCTCAAGATGAAAAGAAATCGACATCAAATATTTCCCACGTAAATTTTCTCATTCCATACTTTTATCCAATGGAAAAATATTGTGCAAGACCCTGTAACTTTGTCGAGTAACAGTCGTCAGAAATTGTTTTCCGGAATTATTTCTTCATTACAACCCTATCATACTGCCCCACAATTACTTTTAAATATTTTACAAATCTTCTCTGCTATGAAAATCAAAAGAAGAGATTCTTTTTGGTGGACTTTACGGTGATCAATAAAATGCCCTCTGTATTTACTGATGCCTTTGATGTTTCTTTTTTGATCCTCTCGGAAGAGAATTGATGGCCATCAGATTGCGCACGTTCCGTCCAATTGTGCAATTGAATTATTCGAATTGTAATCTCGTTAGTTCTATTGGCACGATCGCTAATCGAGTTGGTGATGGGAATCTAGTGGGGTTTCTTGTCGATGGATTTCACCCGCTGAGTTCTTCATGTCCGACCGTGAGTTACCGCATCTACTGAAGGGGAATTCGGATCATCAGTGGTAGAGGTCAGCCGAGGACAGAAGTGAGTGATAAAATCGCGCTCACGTCATGCATTAAGGGGTTTCGTGTGTAGATTACCAGGGGATGAAACGGAAGGGAAGTCTTATTGTTCTCGAGCCCTGACTCAATCGCTGAGCACGAAAATTTTCAATTTTCAAGTAACTATTCAACTGTGCATTTGAACATTTTTTGAATATTGATTTTATTAAAGTTGATCCTAAAAATTTCTGATTACGTATGGTTACAACAAGGAATAACAAAAAACAACAAATTTTAAGATTTGCTAAAAATGGAAAAAAAATGAAAAATAAAAAAATTATTTGCTCAGGATCAGATACATACGTCCAATAGCTCTTAAGGCCGAGTGAAGACTCGTTTTCAAAAGAACATTTTTGACAAAATTAATAGTAAAAGATGAAAAATTTCGAAGAAAATATCCGAAAGATTATTGTTGAAAATTGAATTTTCATGAGATAATTCACGATGACTCTGAGGAACCCTGAGACTACTTACCTGAGTAGCACCATAATTTCCTCATCTCTAAAATCTCATCAATAATACTGCAACTACTCAGAACTTTCCTCATCCCCTCAATCTCCAGATGCCGTCTCAGCATATCTATACTTTCCGAACTTATCTCTAAAATCCTCACTGAATTCAGCTTGTCTATCTCCACTGTACGGAAATACATCAGCCCATTTCATCTGCAAATCTCAAATCAGTTGAACTGATCAGCATCCATTCTTTCAGCTAAAATCCAATCAATTAAAGCAAATATTCATTCGTTCAAGTTTCGTGAAAAGCAATTAAAAATCAATTAATAACCCCAGAGAATCCATAGAAGAAACTGATTAAACAGGGGAAAGAGCTCTATGAAAAAAATCATGGATCTGCGTTCACGATCTTCCACCAAAGAAATTCAATGATAATTAATCACCTTTCCACACCTTAATTAAAGCCAGGTTTGTAATAAATATTATTTCTCCCTCAGTACTTCGAGAATTCTCCACTCAATTACCGAATAGCTCTTGAATTTACGTATGAATAAATTTAATAACCCATTTTTACTGTTCATCTCGACGTTGATAAATCTTCTGTTGGGATCAATGGAAAAATTGTTAAAATAAATCGAAAGTTGTTAGATAATTTTTTTATTCATATTTCCTTCCTACTACTGTTACGATTTTATAGGCTATTATAACTATTAACTATTAACGAATGGTAGAGTTGAATATGATCAAATGAATATTCGTTAATAGTTAACGAATGGTTCACTTGAATGGCGAAAGTCAAGTCCAACAAGGCTCCTCAAACGTGCATTCGTTAACTATTAACGAATGAACATTTGGTGGGACCGAATAGACTCTAACCTCCAACCAAAATCAATTCGTTAACAATAACTGATCCGTTCTATCAGTGCAGCTGAGCCAATGTTCAGAATCTAATCAACTTCGTTCGTTCCACAGGAACAGTCGTGCAAACTTTTATTCACATACGCACACACACCCACACATTCTTCTGAAAACTTAACACAAAGTTTCTAGAGGCCATGAGACGTGAAGATATCATGAAATTTGCGGTTTCGATTTTCGGGGCCATTACAATAACTGCCCGATATAAATCGGGAAGTTAAAAATCTGAAATCACCTTAACGATCTTCCCCCCGAAGAAATTCAATCCCAGCATAGTTAATCACCCTCCCCCACTTTAATTAAAGTCAAGTATGCAACAAATATGTCTTTGCCCCTGACTCATGTTTTTTACCCCTTGAACCTAGAAGGCGCATATCCGCCATCCGTTCGCGGGGTTGCCGTGGAAAATGGTAAAAAGCGTCGGGTTCATGGTGGGAGTAGAGGCAGTAGAAACATGCGCACAGTAGAAAAGGTACCCGTGGCCGGGAACGGCCGGCTGACATGAAATCGTGACACTAGTTTCGGCCTAACTGTCCGCAGTGTGACCCGTCTGTGTCTCAGTCTCTCCTAATTGTTTTGAGAGAAAAGTCGAACTTGCGGCTCAACTGGACACGAGAACTCCGATCATCCAGCGTGTAATTCAGCCGAGTATTTATTGACACAACGTATTACTATGGTGAGTACTGCAGTGGCACGTCACCCCTCCGAATGGCCAATGGCGCGCGGTCGATCGTCACGAGCCTTGCGGCCATCCCCTCTTCCTCTTCGCCCCGCGCTCATCGCCCCGTTGCACTATCCTCCACCGGTGTTTAACGATATCGCGGATCTACGGATTCAACCCCACCGCATTCAAAATGTCTCGGATATGTATTTACATGTACGACATTCTCGTCTAAATGCGATCAATTGAAGCATCGTCCTTCGGCAGGGGGAATTGATTGAGGTGATTGCCGTTGTCGTTGCGAAAGTTATTGTTGGGTGATTGAGGTAATTTTGTATGCAGCGGTAATCGATGGGGCAATGTTGTTGTTGAACTTGGTAGTGAAGGGGTGGAATGTACACCGTTAGAAAGAAATTGAAATTTTATGGGCACTGCAAATTGCAGTCGATTTGGGGGGGGATCATGGCATTTGCAATTTTAATGGAATTCCAAGTTTTTGAGCCACGGGAAGACAGTAATTCATTAACTTACTTGAATTTTCAGACAAAGTGGGGATATTCAAAATCTGAATGTAATTTAAAGTTGTAAGTTTAAATATATATTGAACTAGATTTTTTTCTATTTCTATGTTTCTCTGAAAGTTCAAGTCCCAATTTTTTAGCGACCGACGAATGGAAATTCCACAATTTTCCTAAATTTTCAGGTGAAGATGAATATTCACTACCAAACTCCTTGAAATTTTCGGGATTCCAGGAATTTTGAAGGAATTCCCAAAAAAGTCAGAGGAATCTGGAATTCAAGGATATTTCTCGGAATTTTCCTCATTCTTCATCAACTTTCCCGGATTAATTAAACTGAAATTCACAGTTGCCAGAAATTATTCCACGAAATCATGAATTTTTAATGGCAAAATTCCTTGAAATTTCAGTGGCAATGTTACTTGCTAGAAATTTCCAATACTTACCGGAAATTTCAGCGCCAAATTTTCAACAGTGTAATGCCTATTCATATTTATTATCGACTCAGTAATCTATCCCAATGGTTCAGACAAATGAAATCATCTATTTCATTGGCGAAATTACCATTCGATCGGAAAAATTCTTCTCATTTCTTTGATCCAGAGGTACAAAATTTAGTATTCTGCAAGGCGTTCTTGCGACGTCTGTGAGCCCTTTTACTATCGGCTTAGACTTATCTACTTACGGGCCGGGCATGGCTGCGGGCATTTCCCTCGGTCCATGCATATTCGTCTGCTCCAGTCATCTGAGAGCCATATAGCTTCTCAGGAGTGCACGGTTCGAATAATAAAGACTCCAGGTTTTTTATTTCCTCTCCGCCTCGTTCATGCTCGTGCATCACGGGATGTAGCCTTTCAAAGGCACACTTTTTGCAATTTTTTTTACTCCAACTCTTTGTTTCATTCTTGCAACCAACGCTAGTTCGATAACTCGTTTTATCGTACATTGAAATATTGCAATTTTAATGAAAAGCGGGAGAAAAAAAATTCTATTTAGTTTGAAGAGTTTTCAGTCTTCTCTTTTCCCTCCGCATTGTTTTTCATCGTGCCATCGAGGGTGCGGAATATTTCATTCGCCATTTCGTATTCTTTGGTATTAAAAAAGGATGTAAAAATTTTGATTCGAAATCACGGCATAGGGCACAAGAGGGAAATTCCAATTCACTGAATAACGCCAGGCGGAGCGAATTTTTCTGCTCCATTTGAGAAATCAGAGGGCATTAGTGTACTGGTGCTTATCG